GGCGGCAGAGCCAAAATTACTCAGTCTGCAGAGGAATTCACCGGGACCAGGTTATTCTATGTAACTGAAGCCTCGCTTCATACATAGAGGATAATTTCGTCAACCTAACTGAAGCCAAGCTTCATAGGTAGAAGAGAATAATTGTTCAAAAGTAAATATATATCCAATTGAAGCCTAGCTTCATGGATATAGTGTCGATAGATTAAAGTTTGTGAAATTGTATTTGACTCTGGGTACTTATAGACCACCACATTTCCTGAAAGCCTCGCTATCAGGGAATCGGTAACATATAGGTATTAAAAATCCAGAGGTATACTAATAACAAATAAGTTTGTATAGATAAAATAGTTGGAACTTTGTTGTAAATCCCTGCCAGCAGCTTATCTTTCTATCTAAATAGAAGCCTCGCTTCATAGATAGGGAGATAGTTGCTGGACTATAGGAAATTATCGGGTTGCAGCGTGATATCTATAGCTTTTGAATTATTTCATAGTGTTATTTTGTAAATGTGACTTTTTAGAATTTAATAGTGTATTTTGGAGTATTAATTCAAGCTGATTGTTTATGATATATGATAATTTCATAATCATTTGTATCTAATCAAACGGCAGGTAGCCCAAAGAAAAATTTATTATATATTCGTTGTACATCCGCTCGGTACACGTTACACATTGTGATATTATTTTCACGAAATTGCAGGTTAAGTTTAACAGCTTGTCCCTTAGTTTTATTGGCAATACTAAAACCCGGATTTCGAATATCGTTGTGGTCTACATTGATGCCATATCCTTCATTTATATATTTTCAAAATTTTCCTACAAGAAGAAAGTTCATCTGCAAATGAGTATAAGGATAGGTAATGGAACTGTTGTAAACGATTATCCTATTGATTTTATCCTTATTACGTTTATCTGTTGCGCAGAATGGTTGTTTTTACAAAGTGTACCAGTATCCGGATGTTGAAAGCTATCCGATTTTCTGCAATTACTGCTGTCACATGGCCATCTATTTTTAAAAGAATACTTTACCATTAATTTGCATGGCTTAATAAAACTGAGCCTGCAACATTTCATAATTTTGCTGTTTAGGGTGTTCTTTTGGGTTTCAGGTTTTCTCTATTTTAAGGGGAAGTAACTCATGTTTACTAAATTATTTGTTCTTTCCTGTCTATCTTAGGTATTACTTATAATACTATTTTTGTTGTATAAAATTTACCAGTTGTAAGGTCATCAAAAGCATGTTAATGTTAATGTTAGTATTTCATATTTATTTAATAGAAACTGGGAATTATCAATGTTATGTGCATACATGTATATCTTAGTATATTGATATGATGAGACTTATACATGTAATATTTCTGAATTTAAAGAGTTACAGTTATGTCATTATGATTAAAGGGATGAGACTTTCATTCAAAGTTATAAATGATAGTACACGTACTGATTGAAAATGTCCTTAAACTTGGATCAAGCAATATAATTTATAAAGTCTCAAAAAATCATATTCTGAATAGTTCTTCTATTTTTTTTTCTAACATGTGTATAGTTTGAAAAGGACAGCTTCTGTCTTATCTATTTGTAATGGAGGAACACCGGTCTCAACCTCCAGGTCTCCTGAGTCAACCCGACAACAGACTTTACATAGAGCAGATTGTTACTTGCCCTTGAATAGATCTGTGCACTAAATTTATAGTGGGTGATTTGTGCCACATGAAAACCAACATAGTACAAAAAGTAACCCGGCGCCAGATGAAAACATGAAAATACAATCTACCACAAAGTGGTTCGTTTGTTGCATTTTTATGTTTTCGCCCGGTGCCCTTGATGCAAAATACAAATCAGCCTTCATAAAATTTCTTATCATAGAAAAAAGGTTAGTTTTTTATCTGTACAAAAAATAGATATTGTACATGTATTAGCACAGTTATGATCACTTTCAAATTGACCTGTTAGAAATAATGGCACAACCAATAACTGTCTAAGCCCTATTTAGTAAAAATAATCATACAATAATATATAAATTGTTATTTTAAATAAGACTATGAGTATGTAAAATGTTTTTTCTTATTTATTAAGTAAGAATTATTTATCTGTTAATTTAAAAATCTAAAAGTATCTGTCGCGGTTTAGAACTGTTCACTATTTAGGGGGGAAAATGTATAAGCGGCCATATAGCTTAATCACTACAGCTACGGTACATTATTCTGTGGGTCAACAGTTCGAGTTCTGGTCAAGCTCAAAGTATTTCTCATCCTGTGACTGCATATAAGCATGAGTTCAATTCACTATGCTCTGTAAACATAAGAAATTCAAGGACACAAATCAATATAGTGGGGAAATAAGTTGTGGTTTAGAACTGTTTCATTATTAAAAAGAGAAAATGTGTAGCCGGCCGGATAGCTCAGTTGGTCTTCTGAAAGTCATGGGTTCGAGTCATGGTCAGGCAGTTTCAGTCAGGGTTAAGAAGTGGTTTTTCAACTGACAAATGTTTGATTCATGTAACAGATTGCATTAAATTAAAAAAAAATTTTGAAATGGACAAAGGCAGTATTGCATGATACTTTTACATATACAAAGGGCATTTGATACAGTTGATCACACTATACTGCACATGAAGAAGTTCTTTTTCTTCTTCTTCATGAAACTTTAAGCATCCGCCATATGTAATGACATTCTTACATGCTTCAAGTCTTATCTCTGATAGACAGCAGCTGGTGGATGTGGCTGGTCCTCATTCTACTACTGCTCTGAGTACCTATAGTGTCCCCCTGATGTTCATTTTAGGTCCTCTTTTATGTCTTATATATGTCAATGACATGTCTGCGACCCTAATCAATAAGCTTTTATTATATGCACAGGCACGAGTATCAGACCTGGGAAGAAAAAATATGACCAGATTGATAAAAAACAGGTGTTCATCTTAAAAGTGTCAAAAACCAAAATAAAATGTAAATAATGACCCCCTTTAAAAATATACTTTAAGTTAATAGTATATTTTTAAAGGAAACTGGGCCTAGCCTCCAGGTCATATGTAATGGTACTGTTATAAAGTACACATCTTTTGTTAAGTATTTAGGTGCAAACCTGAATCAAATTCTTTTGGCGTCGCCCTTTGATGCTTTGCATCAATGCTTTTCTTGTTTTACTTCCTGTTATGTTTTTATGGCTTGTTTTGTGTGCTAGAAAATAACTTGGTAACGTTTTCTTTAAATACTAAGGACAAATTAGTAATTGACGTACTCGGGGACAGTACATTGGGGACTGTCTAGAACATTTATTCAGAGTAATCCTATTCTGCCAGAGATGGTTTGTTTAGTGTATGTACATTAAAATCACATTAGGCTGTTTAAACTATTTACCAATTTATTCACAGGTAAACTTTGATAATGAAATGATGTCAATGCTGAGTCATTATCAACATTTTTTTTAAAGAAAATCTCCTTAACCGCTTGGTAGATTTTGATTTAACGTCACAGGAATGACCCATAGGGACATTCTACTACCAGTGTTAATGGATTAAGTCTATTGTAGGATTAAAAGTAAATCGCACGAGCAAAATTGTAGACTTAAACAAAACAAAATAAAAGTATTCTAACCCAACACCTTGCTATCCAAAACAGATATGTAGTAAAGAAATATTTTGTGACCTTTACAAAAGTTCTATTAATCAAACCCCTCCAGTCAAAATTGGCAACACCTTTTGGTTTACTTATACGTATAATTTAAATACTTCTTCAAAACATAATTAAATCATTTACATGGTCTAGAACTTTAGGTATTTGGCATGTTGCACTGCTGGTAAGTTTTAAATCAATTACTTCTAAGCATAATAGCATCAACGACCTGAATATTAATTGTGTGTGAATAATCAATTTACTTTTATTGTTTAAAATGATGATTAATACATAATAGTTATTAAAATATTACACCGCGATCAAAGCTTAATGAGTTTTACATCCGAAACTGATAACAATGTAACGAGTCTAGCTCATTCACTTTTAATTTGTATCTTCATAATTGCTGTATTCAAATTGCTTGAATTATCGTTATTAATTAACATATTCATATAGTAACTATTTATATATACGTTTATTCAATCTAAAAGTAATATTTCAGTGAAACCCCGATTGATTTATACAATTTACGCACATACTTAAAATGAACTAAATACAGTGAAAATGACATTTTCGTAAAATATAAATTGTCAAATACATGACTGTATTTTCCTAGGTAAAGTTGAGGTAGAAAAATCGATTAAAGTTTTAGTATTTACACGGGCTCGTTAAGTTAGATATTGAAATATATCAAAAGCAAGGTAAAGAAAGCCCAACACGGCAAAAATTGTAAAATGTTGCAGGCTCGGTTTGATTGAGCCTGTTCATGGACGGTACTGGAAAGTGCAAGTTACCTTCCACGCCCCCTAGCACCGGCTTAAGCAGAATCCAACATTTAATCATTTAAACATCAAATCCATTGTTTGATATTTTACCTAATACGTTTCAAACACCAAACAACGTGTAAAATAGATAGATAAAGAATCCCTAAAGAAGGTCCAAAACGGAAAATTGAAATGTTGCTTGCTCGGTTTGAATGAGCCTGTTCGTGGACAGTACTGTAAAGTGCACGACTCCAAGCACCGGCTTAATGTATATTTCATTATATATAAAATAAATGAAAATGTCTATGTTATTGTTTGTATAAAAATTAAATTTTACAATTTCAGAATAAGCCTTCATTTTCCTATTACTATTCACCTCTAAAAATTGTGAATAAAATAGATGTGAAAAAAGTCATGTTGCGGAAAATATTTGTGTATTAAATGTTTGAAACTGAGAATGGTATTCATGTTAAAATATTTCGAGCTAATGGAAAATTAAACCATGAATTCATTATATTCCCATGGGTGATCGTGTGTCAGATTGCTCGAATGCTTGGTAGGCGTGATTCCATGTTTGATTGACGTTTATCGCAACTTAAAGCCTTTTTACACCATGTTTATAAATCAGTGTCGCAATTAATTGTTAGTTATAACATTCATTTGCGCTTTGAATAGAGAAAGAAGATATGTTAACTTGAGTTTACAAGTTGAGCTAATATGCTTTTCTACTGCGTTTACATGATCTTATTCTTAGGTAAGTTAAAGTTTGTTTATTTGTTTTTTGAATAGAAATTGTTAAATCAAATAAAATAAATAAATAATGTAGATCAAGTTCGAAGCTTTTAAGAATAGTTGAAAATCTAATATAATATAGAGATAATATATTTCGATGTAAAGGTAGCGATTTTTTGAAACGTTGATGATTGTTTTGGACATTTTATATACACAGAAGAATTAATTATATTTTCATTATCAGTTTTATTTTAGATTTTTATTTTAATAACTGCAGATGACATTCAACTGAACTTGAATGAGGTACATTTTGTAATTTAATTCAATATAACATATTTGTTTCCTGTATCACCCACACAAAGTGAATTATAGAAATAGTTTACCTTTTAATATTTTTTATAAATGAAAAATACCCTTTTCACATATCGATGCATTTTTCATTCTAAATAAAAATAGATCAAATTTAAAACATCATAACACGATTAGAATGGTTTTGTTCACTTAATATAGAGAATGTTTTGTAAAAGGAAATATTGTAAACGGATATTTAAATATTTTTTTTAATTTTTTGTACACATATCATCTGCAAAGAGAACACATTTATATCTATTGTACATTCGACTCTTGTTAAACTATTAAAAAACAGATTAATTATAAAGAAAAACTTTTTTTGATATTGTTGCCTCTATAATCTAGAAAACGCACATCAATTTAATTTGCAACTGATGTTCTAATTGAGGATAAATTTCATTTTATTATCATTTGTAATTGTTATTCTGCAGTACATACGAGTTCATTAAGCCAAAGTTTTACAGGGAACCGAGTATGTTTAAAAAAATCAGCTCTCGAATTAAAAAAAAAAAATCTGAATTAATTGGCCTTGCTAAAAACATCATCTTTGCGACCAAGCGTCAGTATGACCTTATAAATATTAAACAAACTGTTATAACCACTGATTTTACAGTATGTGCAAGATAATTATGCTCTTTGCGGCAGTATGGCATTAATTATGTATTTCTAATTGTTGGTTTACTACATATAAAATAAATGAAAGTGATTTTTGCAACGTATTTATTACATTAAATCAAACTTTGTATTGTTTAAATATTTACTTAAGAAAATTCTCCATATATACTTTTATTCAAAAATATTTGTGTTTTCAATAAGATCGTACTATGATTTGAGCCGCAACACGACAAAAACCAACATAGTGCGTTTGCGCCCAGCATGGATCCCCAGACCAGCCTGCGCATCCGCGCAGTCTGAATCAGGATCCATGTTGTTCGCTATCAGTTTCTCTACTTGTAATAGAGTTGGTAATCGAACAACATGGATCCTGATCAGACTGCGCGGATGCGCAGGCTAATCTGGATCCATGCTGGTCGCAAAACACACATGTTGGTTTTGTCGTGACACGGCTCATTTATTATTTATGTATTACGTGTTTTGTTAAATGACTATATACAAATATGTATACGACAATTAATTATATCTTTAATACGAATCTATCTAACTATAAAAGGATGAAGGAATAACACGCTCACTGTAAAATACTAATCTGATTAATATTTACATTATGTACAATGTGTTACATACATCAATCAAATATATATTTCACATTTCAATATAGAAAAAAATGTGAATGATATTCAGATACACACGAGAAGCAGTTTAAATAACTTAATATTCGTATTAATTAGCTGATAGGAGAGATCAAGATTATTATTTCAGATTTTTCAGTTCATTAATTGTAATTCAGAAGTAGAACATGATATTCAATATTTCCAGCGAGGAATAGAATCTCACACGATACATTTTTCATGGGCTATTGAGGGAAATACCTTTTGACCCTTCTTACGCATCGTCTATTCCATGCATTATTTCACCATGAAGAGCTGGTTCTAATTTCAAATTCGTTGTATATATTATAGGAATAATAATCATGAGCCCCTGTGTGAATCTCATTTTAGACAATATAGGCGGGGTTAAATTGCAAACAACCGCTTTTATAAACGATCAAATTATCGGTCAATTATCTTTATTATGAATTAAAAAGAAATCATACTTTCTTAATAAAAAATAAAATCACTATTGAATTAACCGCAGTCGTGTATATTGTTTTTTTTTATATAATTTTGAAGATTAATTAATGAAAATGGATGTTAGAAACGGGCAAATTTCTTGAAACAAACTTACATTAAATTTTATAAAACAGTATTCCTAGCATAACCCTTCTGTTAACTCACTTAACCCGAATCCGTGACAAGCACACGGATAATCTAAACAATAATTGCATTACTTGGAATATTCTAAGATTTTTACATTTTTATTTTCATCTATCTCATATTTTGTATTGTTACTTACAATTTTTGAAAACGTGCTTACAAACGACAAGCATTCAGCCTGATTTGTGAACATTCATTAAAAACAGACAGACACAATCTATCATTAAAAAAAACCCTGTTAACAAACAGTTTATAATATTTATATGTTTTCTTTTACCTGATCAAAGTGGAGGTCAGTGCAACACCTATCAAGCACACCTCAGACTTTAAATTTGCAAATTGCACGGAAGATGAGTCAAACAAGATCGTTTGTGACCCAGCAGACCTGAAAGAAGCAGGTATAAACTATCATTTAAAAATACCACTAGTATTCTGCAAAAAAACCCTACAAAGTTTTCGTTTATATCACCTTTTTTCATACTAAAGATTTACAACAATTCAGTTTATTTCTGACATACTTATATTTATCTACTATCTCTCTCATGTTTGATATATGCTAATTACCTTTCAGATGTATTGATTCGGATATTTTTAAGAAAAAAAAAATGAAAAATTGAATTGCATTATTTTGTCCATTCAAATGTTAATGATCTGCTCACTACACTAAAAAAAATTATAGTCAATGTCAATATAGAATGTTTTGAAAAGGATTGTCATACACGTAAAAACTTAATCAAATTACCAATCGACTTTTGGATCGAGAAATTATTGAATAACTAAACCACCATGGTAGCTTAGTATAAAAGTAAAGATTTTAAACAAAGATTTAAAAAAGAAAACGTATAACACAATTATTTCTTCTTGCTAAAGATAATGAAGAGTTTATCAGTGAGTGGCCATCTGGACCATATGTACTTCCAATGTCAATCCATGGATGTCCGGAGTCATGGAAACAAGGTTGGGAAGAAGGTGTTTTGTCAATAACATGGGCGTCACAACTCAAAGTATTTACCCAAAACTCCTCGTCATCTGCCAATGATTATACAAATGGAAGCAAAGCCATATTCCATGATGTTACAATAACTAAATGGCCAGAGTTCCAAACCTACGTATTTGGTCCGTTTGATGATAAGACATTCAAACTAAAGTTTTGCTTTAAACGTGCAAGCGCTCGTTTGAATGATACAATTATAGAATGGCCTGAGAAGGAATTTAGCATATATGGTACAAATGAAACTTGTCCCAAGGGTAAAGAATTAATTATTGCATCGTATTTTATTGACAAGAAATCAATAAATGAAAATTTATAGTGATAAATAAATCAAAACGATGTGTTCATTAATAAAATATTTAAAGGTACACGTACCCTGTGTGGCTGAATTAGGCAATTAAGTGTGTTATTGTGATAGTTATATTTGTACATTTCACTTTTAAAAAATATTGATATTAGACATACTGATTTTATCGATCTTAGAAAAGAGTGAGCAGATACCTAAGGACATTACCAATAATTTTTTTTCAGAAATAAGTATCATGTCGCATATTATTAAATCAATTTCGAATATACTCAATCCTAATGACAATATCATTGTTAGGAGTTTTCTGACAATTCAGAGTATTTTGTGTGCAGATCAATAACATTGATTAAGATAGGTATTCAATATGTTACTGTTTTATAGGTTTCATCCGGAAGAATCTCAATATAACTCTTCCTGCAATATCGTACTGGTATACAGATGGATACACACCCGACATTCAAATAGAGCAAGATACAAAATCCGGTATGTTCATATGTACTTCCTCTCGGTATAAACAGCAAAGACAACCTAAATTTGACTTTTTCAATACATGATTGTATCATTTTTGTGTTAATGATTATTAATCTCTGCGATTAAGCGAACTATAGAAAGTTCATTGTATTTACTCACCAGTAAGACGAGTGCCTTATAAGACGTGGTCAAAATGTTAAATAAATTTGTTATTTAACTCTTCTATAAGGCGAGACAAATCTAAAGTAATAAAAAGTTTATAAGAATTGTGAAATGCACGTAAACATTGGTTTACAATACTTATTTTTTATTTATTTGTATGCATCGGGCAATGTGTCACTATTGTGATATTTCATTCAATTTTTCATAGCAAATTTGAACATACTTCTATGTTCGAGGATGAAGTATCATGCGGTTGTGAATGATGGGGACTTGAAAGAAATAAATGCCTCTAACAGTTATTTCATATTAATGAAGGTAATCCAGTTACGACACATTTTACGTTTTCATACTACAATACATATACACATACAAGATACCAAACATTTAACAACAATATATTCAATTTACATATTGTAAGCTTCGTATTTTATAGAAAACTTGCTAATTCTAATATGATTTATTTTGTGTGTGTTGTCCTCTTGCGAAAATAAGTATGAAATTCTATGAATAGGTCTATAATAATATAATTCCTGATGAAAGTATGTAGAGATTTGTGATATTAATTTACATGCTAGTATTAACAAAAATTCATACAAATGTTTTTTTAAGCTAAGATATCGATATAAAAAGCTCAAAGATCATTATATTTTGTACAATAAGAACACTATTTTACGATGTTAAGGTATCACATGCTTTTAAAAATTGTAACATTTCAGGAGAATGATTCTGATTGTCCACATTTTATTGATACAACTGTTCAGAAGGAAAGTATTTTCTTTGGAGATCGTGTTCAGAAAAACTCGTCCAGCACCGTCTTATTTGAAACCTTCTGCTATTATCGACCATTAATTAGAAAAGGTTATATTTAGTGCAGCAATTAACAATATTTTCAAATATCAAATTTGAGCATAATATCTTTAAGATGACATTACGATATATCAGTGTTTATACAAAGTAGTTTTGAAAACTAAATGCATATTTTAGATACATATATGCTTGGTCGGGTATCTTTTGTGCAACGGTTTTTAAAATAAATTTTTTACCCTTTTAAAAAGTGTAAAATTTTTTATAAAAAGATAAGCAATGCTGTAAAGTGAGCCCAACTTGCTTGCGAAAGGGAAAGATGTCTGTATCCATTAAAAAAGTCTAAAGATAAAGACAATTTTAACGAAAAATAAAAAGAAATAAAAAAAATCCAAACTTTTTTCCCAAAACTTTATTCTTTTAAGGTAAAATATCTCCTTTGATAGACATTGTTTCTTTTATTTCAGATGTTATGGACAACATATTTGAGTCAAATAACATAGAAGGTAATGTCAATTAAAACATACTCCAAAACGAAAATTTAATATTGACAATTTCCTTACCCAAAATATTAAATGTCGTCTGAAATGAATTAAAATTCTTTTTCAACCCATAACACTTCACCAGAAATAGTATTTCATATTGTCAGTAAATGATGTTATTTATTGAGAATAGAAGGATGATAAAACGATTTCAAACAAAAGATTTAAAAGGAAATGGTACAAACTTAAATATCTTTTAATTTACTAATGTTGGTTATATACTACATCGTTTACAATTGATTATCAGGTTACCTGACGCCATATGCTACTGTTATAGACGGATCTTTTACAGAAACTGCGCATTTTAATGATCCGAATATTAATGTTGGTAAGTATTTTTCTTTAAAAACACATAGTTTTGCTTTCTAAATCAACGAACTTCAAGCTCTAGAAGAAGAAAGTACGATTTAAAAAGTGTAAAAAACGTAATTTTAACATTTTATTTTACATGTAAATATTTTAAAAGGTAATTATCTACCTTAGTAGCTATATGACCTTACGTACAGACTCAATCAAACCGAGTCTGGAATTGTCATGTAATTTTGTTGTGATTAATGTTGCCAAGGGATCACTTTGTATCCAGCTTTTTATACTTATAAACAACAGCAGGTGTCAAGTGCTGTGTGGCAGCTGTAAAACGTTGCCCCGTACTTCACTTCTTTTTTGTTATATTTTTCTGGTCCTTCGGGATCATTGATGCCAGCATATTAAGTGTTGAGAATTGAGTACCACTCAAGCCGGTGCTAGGGGGCGTGAGGGATGGTGTACTTAATTATTATCCCTCATGTACAAACTCAATCAAACCGAGTCTGCAATTTCCATGTAATTTTGTTGTGATTAATGCTTCCGAAGGACCACTTTGTTTCCAGATTTTTATAAAAGCTCTGCCAATTGATTTTTGCAAAGGTAACTAAAAATGTCAACTTTAATCCTTAAAAAGAAACTAAATGGAAATCATGGTATTGAGTTTGATATATCTATTTCTTTAACTTTTCAGATGAGCAGCTTAAACAAATTCACGAAGGCCCAACAACTATTCCTTGGAAACTTATAGACCTCGGAAGCTCAATGCACCTGGCTTTAATAGAGATTACACTATCTGGTTGTTTTTTAATCTCTGTAAAATAAATATTTATATTAATAGTACTAATATTATAATAATTGTACAGTGAGTCTGTGCTAAAAAAATATTTGAATAAAAGTCATAGTAAGACGAAATTCATTTAATAGCCCCGTTGAAGTTATTATTTGAATTGACAACAAAGACTATATCTACTACAATTAAAATTAGAACAAAATCGTCAAAAAATAATAAAATGCTACACTTGGAACAAACTAACGTTAGGCAAAAACAGAAATGATGAAATGATAAGCCAAACAATGCAATATGGCGGAAAAGATTTAAGAGGGATGCTATGCTTCACAATATAACAATACTCACACTTTTATCTATATGTTTAACAAATCTATATTGTTTTTGATTACTTAATTCATTCATATATTTGCAATAACGCATGTCATAACTAATTCAAAGAGTTTCTTTTTTTATTTACGTATTGACAGGTGAAGAAATGGTGGATGGTAGAGATGTAGCTTGTTTTATAAGCGAAACTAGATGGAGTTTCCTTCATTTTGATGCAACACATTGCATTGTTAGTGTTAAGCAAATCCTACAAACTTTGAAGTTGCTTCCTATAAGGTAATGGATAATTTCTAAGCAATATGAAATGACAATGATATTGTTAAACCTTTTCGTGCTACATGCATTAATGATGAAATGAAAACGTTACAAATGTTTATATTATTGTCTTTGTTTCTTCAAATGTTTGTCTATCGTTTTCCGAGCTTATGCGTTGTGACGGTCATGGTCAGTCTTGATGCCTATCGTTTATCATCTGGAAGCCTCCAATGGCTGGTGTAGTCAAGCCGCAAATAAGCTTTGCCCTGTATTTCTAGTAATGGGATTGTGTATTGAATAATTATAATAACGTTCAATTGAACTTAAAACTAAATGAGAATATAAGAAAATTTGAATTTATCTTCTCTCTCTTTCCAGATTAATGCACGGACGATTCGTCGCATTGGTCGATGGTTCAAGTAATAAATCATTGTTGGATACCATTAATAACATACACGTTTACACTTACAATACCAGACAAGGTGCTCATTCTTTTCTTATTGTCTGTTTCTGATTTTCTTTAAGTGATTTAACCTTTTAAGTGTTATATATGCAGATACTACTACAGAAACGAATGGAAATAATTCAAAATAATGTCACAAACAGTTTTAACTTAATATTAAACCTTAAAAACTTTAAACTTATTGAGTATAATTAAAATAAGAAATAGACTAGATTGTTATTATTTCAATATTGTACTAAATATATTAGATATGTACGGCAAATTTGTTTAATTCGGAAGTACGTTCACCGATTTATGAATAAGTATCAACGACCTACTGAAAAAGAAGCTTGACTGCTCGAATAAATTTACAATCATATGTAATACCTAACTAACTGATTGTTCCTTCTAAAAAACATGAAAATGCAATCAAAATTACATTAACAGATACGTCGGGGAGATGTAACACCGATCTTGGAATGACCGATGGCAGCATTTTAGATTTCCAGTTATCTGCCAGCACATTCCATGAATGGTTTCCTATTGCAAATGCCAGACCGTTCTCATCTGGATGGTGTGCATCGTCAACTGATAACGATCCATTTATAATGGTATACTGCTTTTTTACTGAATACTAACTTCATGATATCTTATAAGAATATCATACCTGCTGCCGGTACAGACCGGAATATTTAGCTCAAGGGTAAATGTTTACCGCAGTAACGAGGCCGAGTTTCCGCCAAACAGTTACACTCGAGCTAGATGTTCTAGTCTGTAACGTCAGTCAGTGTTTGATTATTTTCCTTGCATATACACATTGATTATTATTTTCGGAAAGAAATAACAAGACAAATAATTTCATTTACTTTTTTTCTTTCTTATAGTAGCGTATGAATTTACAATTTCATTCATAAAGGTAAAATTACGTACGGAAATGACGTCATTTAAAGCACGCGACGTACCTTACATGGGATATAAGCACTTGTTTAAACAGTAGATATTCCATTTGATATTAAAGAAAAAAGTAGTTTGCTGTGTGGCTTGTTTTATATCTTTGCAAGTCAATTTTTAACTTAAATTTTTCTCCATATCTTAAATTTGACTTGTTACTTAATCTCCATATCTCTAGATTTCTCTAAATCATTTTCGGTCAGGTGTAAATAAAATTCTTGGAAATTAAAAAATTCAAGTCTAGCTAGTAATGTAAGGGAATGTCACAGATACGTACTATTTCTTGCTACAAATCAAACTAAAATGTTATAATGCCAGCTGCTTTTCTGATTTACTTCCTCTTTCTCCTATCAGTTTTTACATGTTTTATGCTTTTTATTATCTATACACAATTCTTTTTTTCTTTCGTTATCTTGTTGTTTTCTTCTGCAAATGCTTTTAGGTTGATTTACTAGCTACCACACGTGTCGAAGGCATTTCAATTTGGAACCTGAAGGTGGGAATAGGAACTAATGTGCATCTGATTGGCAGCAAGCGAGTTCAAATTCTGTTTGGGGAAAACGTGAGTGATCTGCAAGAATATATGACAAAGGTAAAATATATATACGACTCGTACATTGATTGAATTATCATATTACGATTCACTACATTTATTTTCTTATTGCACAACTTTTCAAATATTTGTTTACTATAACTACTAGGAATTTCAGTTGGATACCCTATCACCGGAATCACAGATCATGTTTATCAAACCATTTGAAGCTAGATTTGTAAAGATCAGAGTACTTGGTGGAATGACAAATGGGCTGATATGCCTTAGATTTGAACTCCATGGATGCAAATTTGCAGGTACTAATAAAGCCTTAAATCTTTAATGTTTACAAAGGAAGACCACAAGTTGTAAAGAATAGCATAAAATAAAGAAATTCAACACTGCAACCTTTCTTTACTAACTAAAGCTGCGGCCTTATTTACTCCTGGCAGAGCCCAGGACCACCCCGGTAAGTTATTGGGATGATCCGGGACGATCCGGGGTGAAATGATTGTTGCGGTCACACTTACCCCGGCAGCACTACGGTAATTTGCAACTAACCACCCATGATGCGCTACGGACCATCCAGGCAGAGCCCAGGTGAAGCTACGGTTCATGCCGGTGCTTCCCCAGTTGTTGCCAGAGGATCCATGCAGGTCCCCGGCAGAGCCCAGGACGATCCAGGCAGTGCTCCCGGTGGATTGAAAATGCGCGAAAATGATTACAATGATACAAAAAAATTATTTAATATAATATGTATTGTTCCAGAACAGTAATTTATGATGATTTTCTGAAAAATCCTCATGCAAGACTGGATAGAAGGGAAATGGGAAGGTTTTTTTTTTATACAAACAAGTGCAATCATCGCAAATTGTCGTGATTCTTTTGAAATAAACCGGGCTTTGCCGAGGCTCTACGGGATCAACCGTTGCTCCACCGTCATCCTCTGGTGCTCTGCCGGCATCCTCCGGGGCTCTGTCAGCATTCACCGGGGCTCTGCCAGCATTCACCGGGGCTCTACCGTAGCTCTACCGGCTATATCATACCCCGGATCATCCCCGGTTTGTGCCGGCAGAGCTACGGTGCTTCCCTGGTGTAACCCCGGCAGTGCTAAGGATGAAGCCGGCAAAGCTATACTTTAAGCTACAGTCTCACTTACATCCCGGCAGAGCCCTGGTAAACGTCCGGGGTGATCCGGGAACGACCGGGAACAACCGGGGTACATCCGTAACTCTGCCGATTACGTCCGGGATGATCCGGGAAAATCCGGCATTCGGCCTCCGATGGAATTAAATATTTAATATCACCGGGGAGGTCCGGGATGATCTGGGAAGTATAGCTTTGCCGGCTTAATCCTTAGCTCTGTCGGGAACACACTGTAGCTCTGCCGGTACAAACCGGGGATGATCCGAGGTATGATATAGCCGGTAGAGCTACGGTAGAGCCCCGTTTAATGCCGGCAGAGTCCCGGAGGATGCCGGCAGAGCCCTGGAGGATGACGATGGAGCTACTGTTGATCCCGGTAGAGCCCCGGCAAAGTCCGGTTCATTTCAAAAGAATCACGACAATTTGCGATGATCGCACTTGTTTGTATTAAAACCGTTCCCATTTCCCTTCTTTCCAGTCTTGCATAAAGATTTTTCAGAAAATAATCATAAATTACTATTCTGGAACAATAGATATTATATTAAAAAAAAATATGTATCAATGTAATCATTTTCACGCGTTTTCAATCCACCGGGGTTCTACCGAGACTCTGCCTGGATCGACCGGGGCTCTACCGGGGTCAACCGGGGCTCTTCATGCGTCATCAGGGAACGACCGGGGAAGCACCGGCATGAACCGTAGCTTCACCTGGGCTCTGCCTTGATGATCCGGAGCGCATCCTGCGTGGTAAGTTGGGAATTACCGTAGTGCTGCCTGGGTAAGTGTGACCGCAACAATAATTCCACCCGGATCGTCCCGGATCATCCCGGTAACTTACCGGGATGGTCATGGGCTCTGCCGAGAGTAAGTGAGACCGCAGCTTAAGGAATAATGGAAATATTGTATCACCAAAGGACGTCTTAAAGTGCAAAATGAAAAAATGTTGAAGACTAGGTTTAATTGAGCCTGTTTGTGGACGGTACTAGAAAGTAAAAGCAATTTGCTTTAGGTTTTTTAGTCCTTGCATCTAGTGTATGATACAAATATTTTAAATTGTTTTGCGAATAATTTGATTTCTCGTCGAAATGACACGAATGCATCATATTATATAGAAATTTCACGAATATTGCCGTATAAATATATCTTATTGTGTTTCTTTTAATTTCGTCAATGATAACAAAATATATTCAAATATACTGTTTTTATAAAAACGTTGCAATGAGGGCATAGACGCAAACATTCCGATAGTTAGTCATATCGTTTTTAGGCGTCTCAGTTACCAAACCATATATTTTTTCTCAATAAGTCCATTATATCAAAGAATATAATCTACTTATATCGATATATATTTTACTATTAAAACAGGAAGTATGAATGACAAAAATGAACTTAAATTGGTTTTAATTCAAAAGAATAAATAGATAGGAGTCATAAAATAGTATGGCAATTAAATGTGATTTTCTTTTTTACTTTGGCAGGTATTCCATCGCTGAAGTGCAATGCGAGTAGTGAAATGTTTGATAATATGGATGTCCTTCGGTTGCCAGACACAGATTCTTCACACATACGGAACATAACTTCTTTTGATGCATGCAAACAAAAATGTCAACAAGCACAAAACTGCAGTACCGCCGTGATTACTGACAACTTCGTTTGTTCAATGTATCATTATGACAATATGGAAAGATGGAGTGTTCACCACAATAAAGAAACCGGCTTCCAATCATCGACAAAACTTTGCTGGAACAGTAAGTAGTAGCCAGTTTGGTTTAAACAGTATGTATTGACATATATAAATAATGTGAAATGGTGAACGACCTTTTAAATTTTCTTTAGCAGCTCATAAGATATATTTTCAAACAGTACATTCTTCATTAATATATTTGTAGATTCTGTCAGACTTGTGATCAGGAATACATATTGTTATGAAAATCTTTAATTGATAATTAAATATTCACAGTTTTCATAAATAGACATGAACCTATTTGTAATATATTGTAACAATTCTTTATTCTTTAACGGTGGTCTATTCCTCTTTGGCAGATTAATAAGGATATAATCTAACATATACTTTATCCTGATACACTCTTTTCTTTCATTCATTACAACAATCTCGGTGTACAAAAGGTCAAAAGTGCAGTAATAGAAAACAACATATTAATTTTATAACTCTTCTTTAAGAAACAACATTAAGAGACGTCATGACGTCATGTACTTTCATAGCAGCGTCATGAGTATTATTGTCTGTCGAATGATTATTGTAAAGTCATATTAAAGTGTAAATTATGCAGTGGTTTTGGCGTATATTTTCTGGTGTTGGTGTTAACAATGGTAACTAAGTAACGGGATAAAATAATTTTGTGGTTCACACAAACCATAAGACGTCTAGCTCACCACTCTTCTTAAAATTCAAATGATGATGAATTAGAAAAGTTGCGTCTTACTTTCAGTATGATTTATTCGGAAGGTATTGTTGACTATATGTTATTTATTTATAGATTATCTTGCTGTTGGAAAATCGAGATTAAAAACAACGCCTTCAAGAACTACATTGTTCAGTCATATTGCAGAAGTTTTTGAAGAATCAGTAATAACTAGCATAGGATATCCATGGTCATATGTTGGGGATCAGAGTTACAAATGGATTGTAGAATTCGATGACGATAATTATGTGAAGCTAATATTCACAAATATTTCGTTTCATAAATATGCAAAGGTAAATGATATTTATATAAACTACCGAATACGCTGTTTTCATTAAGTTTTAGATTATTTTTGTATTCAATGTGTGTAATCTTCTGCTACTCAAGGTATTGCTATTGATATGTTTTGGATAGAACTATGTAAAAGCAAGAGTGTGTACAACAGTACCAAGTGAAATCTAGGTAAAGTAACACTATGACAATTATAGCATCAATATTTTTGTTGATTAATTTAATAAAATTCCTAAATTTTCAGAATAATTCGAGTTGTACAGATTCACTACTGGTATCAAACTTTCTGACCGGGAATGCAGGGACTGCTAGACGTATCACTAACAAGTTGAATGGCCATGTATTCATCATTGAAACAAGCGAAACAACAGTTATTCTGACTTTTACCTCATGTTTTCCATCGGCAGATATAACCGAATTGGGCAATGGATTTCGAGCAATTGCCACTAAACAAAGTAAAGAAATAAATATTCCCACCATTTCTTTAATTTATTAATATCTTGCATTCAGCAGTAACCTATTTCAGTAAACAACATGATAATATTCACTTATATGAAGTTCACGGTAAATTTATTCTATACAAAACTGCACTTAAAAGCATGTTTATGAATGATAATACATTATAAATTATATAACGTTGCCAAAAGTATATATTTACTTGTATGATATATTTTAGAGATTCCGGCATGTTTTTCCTTACACTCTGATCAAAGTTGGGAAGATGGTCGATCGGAAATTTGCAGTAAAGAAGAAATGATTATTATGCCTATGTCATATGTTGGCCTTCCTTTTGAGAAGACAAAGGAAACTTGGAATTTGTTTTTTCCAAGACATCGTATCGAGTTACTTGTGACAGAATTTCAGGTGCCATGTCAGGGTGCTGAAGGTGGTAAGGCTTTTATAATTTATCATGTATATTTAAAAAAAAAAATGCGTGATATGCAAGTAAAATATCATGAAAGGACTATTTCATCGATGATTTATATAATGATAGCAGATTTATATATGTAAACTACAAAGTGTCTTTTACAGTTCAAGCCGTATAAACAAAGGAAAAGTTAAATTTAGATATTTTTTCAATTGAGATCTATTGCGATACAAGTAATTGATACTTTTTGCCTAAAACGTCCATTTCCTAAAACCATAATTGGTACGTTGTCGTGACCCGAGATCGACTTGAACCAACAATCTTTGATTTAGAAACAGGTACTCTATTAAGTACATCGTTTATCTAAGAAAAAGGAATGGTTAAATATTGAAGTATTTTGTTTCATAACGGTTAACTTTCAGAACGTTGTTTTCTTTTATTGGTAAATATATACTTAAAATGCTCATATTTTCAGTTAAGCAGTATTTCAGGAATAACCTTTTTATGATTTTTTAATCAATTCAATTCCATAGGCTCTAAGTTCTATGTCGTCGATTTCAACATGACTTTTGAATACTGCAATCTTAATATGCCACCGGAAAAGATCCATCTATCATCGGATAATGCAACAATACATTTCCTAAAGGACAAAAAGCAGGAAAGAGTTTATTCCGAAGGATTTGTGATCAGATACGCCCTAACTTATGACAGACCCAACGTTTCGTTCACTTTCAATGGCATTCGATCCAACGGTATGATAAATTGTATAGTTTTCCCATAAAGATTTAATGTGATGAAAGTTTATTTTAATTTCTTATTATGTGTGTTGCATAATAATTGGTTTCGTATGATAGGCAACTGTAGTAGTAGTGTCGTTAGCAATGACAGTCCTCAGATCTTCGTGAATCAGGTGAAAAGGTACCTTACGAACAGCACGACAATTCTGTCGGTATGGCCATAGTTTCTACATATGACTTTTAGAAATTAATGTCTGAACTTTAGAATATCAAAGACAAATCGTTCCATCAATAACTGAGCAAGATTGAATTTATTTTTAATGAACCTGTAAACATGTAATGCACAAGTACTGTTACAGTAGCAAAAGTACGAAGTACACCTAAGATACTTAAAACATTACGAAAAAAATGGTTTAAACATCTAAATGTTTGGTTAGTTTTTTTTCAAAACAGCTCATAATAGCTGGGGTTGTTTCATCTAAAAATCGTCTCTCCTGCCATTTTAGTATCAAACATTGCTTTGGGCAAGCCAACAATTGGATCAAGTCAATATGAAACACACCGTACAGATTATGCTCCAGCCGGTGTAACTGACGGGATAATACATGCAGATCTAACATATGGTAGCTGCTTTCATTCGTTACGGGAATTAAACCCATGGGTTTTAATCGACCTTGAAGGAAACTACGTTCTTTACTGGGTAGAAATATACACGAGAATGGATTGTTGTGGTGTGTAAAATTATATTATTTAATGTGTCTCCTTCATTTCCGTGATAAAAGACATCAAGATGTTCAAAATATATACTAGTACAGAAATAAGCATGAATTATTTTTAACTTTCAATACCAGTCAGTACCTAAATGTGTTAAGCCTAGGGAAAATATACAAAACGATGATTATATATTATGTATGTTTGCCCATTTAATTTAATCTCTACTTGAGTAAGATAATACCTCTCTACCATTTAACCACTTCTATTTCAAAAATTAAATTGGAAATTAAAATAATTGTTCGTTCTTCTTGCTTTCAACTAGTTATCGAAACAATCAGATGTGATGAAAAACTTATTAAGGCTATCCTTATTTTCCATATGATTGCTTCCTATATGTAATGACTAGGATATATATATGATTGGTATTTTGAATGATAGAATCGTATCCAATTCCAATAATGTTACTATTAGTTTATATTCAGTACGTCACTTCCAGCTGATCAGTGTCTGAAATGAAATGATTTTGTTATGTGTTGTACCTATGTTGCTTGCTCTGGTACAGTTTCCGACGGCGTATCTACATTTTTCCTATCATATCGATTTTGCTAAATAAAACAAAAACATGTTTTGGATTATATACTTTGACGTGTGGTGTGTCTAAACTAAACTTGAAGCCCAATGCTTGGTTACATTGTCGGGTATATTATTTTCCAAACGTAAATATTGAGAAATGATGTTTTTCAGACAAAAATGACGAATGAGATATCGTAATACATCTTACATGACCGACGTTATGTATGTGACCTGAGCTATTGTCATTAGAAAATTGTTTGACTGTAGAAAAATGCTTCTTTTTATGAATGCTTTATCCAGATCATCGCCATGAAAACGCTGAAGTTTCTGCTGGCCTGGACCTAAAACACATGCATGTCACTAGTGTATGCGGACGCTATGGACCAAATCAAGGTGTTATAATGAGTGGAGTGAGAGCTCGATATGTTAAGTTAGTACATGTGTTTAAAAAGGAGTCCATGAATATATGTGAGATAAAAGTTTTTGGAATTTTAGGTATGATGTTTTTATTGAATATATTTTTCAAAAAAAATCTGCAGAAGGTTATTTTAAAATTTATTGAAATAAAAATTCAATTGACGGATACTTAACTCTAATTGTATGACAATGCATATACATTTTTTTTTTAACAACAACAATCACTTTTATTTTCCATTCAGTTTACAATAGTAACAACATGACATATAATCAATAAAAGTTTCAAACAGTATGTGGGTTTAACTTAGAACTAGGTATGATTTTTTTCAGGGGGGCAGTAAAATAGATTATGAAATAAAAAAAGAAAAATATACATAAATATTTATATATGGCATTGTCATATTGACTTAGACAATTACGACAAAATTACTGTGGATTGTATAAATAGCCTCTTTTCTGAGTAAAATTACCGTGGGATTTTTTTGCTATAATCTATAAATACAATGCGTATTTCTATAGTAGATACGATGGCGAGATTTCCATGATATTGCGCTTGTTGATAAATTATAGATAATAGTACCGTCTCGTTCGGAAGTCACGTGCTATGTTTGTTGCGATTTGATTAGTTGGGACATATACAAAAATAAAAAGGTCATGTTTTGGACAAAACTGGTTTCATTGACTGGATGTATATCGATTGTGATTTTAAATTCTATACGGATTTACTAGCTTTGCAACTTGAGAGGTATGTTTTCAGTAGATTACCTTTTGAATGTATTCATAATCTCGCGCACAAAGCGGGCGATATTAATCAGTAACTTTCTTGAAGTTGAACACATTAGGGATGAAAACTTGATAATATTTGGTCGAGTATAATAATATTTCGGAATGAATTTTGTTCTTAACTCTTGGAAAAAAGGACATTTAAGGAGAAAATGGAATTCGTCTCCCAAATCGTTGAGCTGACAGTGGCGACATTTACGTTCCTCGTAAGGGACAAATGACTGTCTCCATCTACCTGTTTCTATTGGCAACCTATGATTTCCGGTTCTAAAGTAGAAAAGTGACGATCTTAAGTTTTTTGGTAAATTACTCAAATAATGTTCTAAATTTAATTCAGTTTTAAAGAGACGGTAATTTAATCCCTTTGAGGAGTTAGTTAATTGATTGCTTTGTAAGAATTGGTCTAACAATTTGCGCTTGATAAGAATACCAACATTCTTTAAATTAATATTATTTTGGTTTTCCCATATATATGTGTAACCAAAATATCTTTTATGTGTTGCAGCCATTTGAAGTTAATCGTTGAATTAAGCATGTTTTCATAACATAGTCTGGCTACTTTATTTTCCTTACCCATAATCAGTTTACACCAGTAATTAATCATTCCAGTTTTTATTACTATTTCTAATGGTTTGCGGCCTAACTCTCCATAGAGCATATATAAAGGGGTGCTTTTTTTACTATTTGTGATCTTTCTAAGAAAATTATTATGAATAGTTTCTATTAGGTCAAGGTTTTCAAAGCCCCATGTTTCACAATTATACGTTAAAATAGGCAAAATGGTTTGATCAAAAAGTTTTGTCTGTAAGTCGATTGGTAAATCAAGATTAAATATCCTAGAGTAAAGAATATGCATGGCTTTATTAGCTTGGTTAGACAGGTATTTTCTTGTACTAAGAAAACTGCCAGACGGGGTAAATAGAGTCCCGAGGTATTTGTATTCCTTAACTATTTCTATTGGTTCCTTGTTAATTGTAAAATGATATTTGTTTGTTTTATTTGATCCGAAAATTACAATTTTTGTTTTTTGCCATGTTTATTTCAAGTTTCCATTTTACACAATAATAATAAAAATCATCCAAAAGTTTTTGAAAAGCAGCAGGGTCGTCACTAACTATAATAGTATCATCGGCATATAACAGTATAAAAAGTTTCAAGTAAAGGTCGGATCCAAGATCTGTCTGCTCTATTTTAATGCCTGTATTGTTTGATTCTAAATAGGTCTCGAGATCATTAAGGTAGATGGAAAAAAGTGCAGGAGACAAATTTTCTCCTTGACGAACTCCACAGTTACTTTTAAAAAAAGGAGACATTGTACCATTTACAGAGACACAGGATTTTATGTCGGCATACATATTGTAAATTATATTATAAAGTTTTCCCTGTATACCATTGTTAAAAAGTTTGCTCCAAAGGCCCGCCCTCCATACTTTGTCAAACGCTTGAGAAAAATCAATGTAAGCACAAAATAATTTCTTTTTCTGTGCACGTAGCTTATCTATTAAAAACTTAAGAGTGAAAACGTGGTCCGATGTACAATAATTTGCTCTAAACCCTGCTTGATTTTCTCTCAGTATATTATTTGTATTTAAGAATGCTGTCAATCGGTCATTAAGGATAGCAGTAAAAACTTTACCTAAACAGCTAAGGATAGTAATTGGTATACGAGTATGTTACTCTTTGGTTTTGAGCAACTAAACGGCTAAATAATATTGACAGTGTGTCACATTTTAATGTTATGCTAGGTTTGTTCATTTAATGTATTGAAAACAAACTATTTCAGAGACAGAGGTTGATGTATCAAAGCATGTTTTTCAAAGGCCGGCGCAAGGTATTTTCATTGTTTCATACCGTATAAGACTACAGTTTATTATTGTAATTATCTTATGTCTGATGCAAAAGTGTCTTCATGACAGTTGTTTTAATTGGTCATTGTACGAAGTTTGGTTAAATATTTTCTGTCTTTCGGGGCACAAATTGCAGCATGTAAGTGATGAAGACTGAATATTGTTTGCCGCTAGTAGTGAGAGATGTTGCACTTTTGCATTATCTCTTGTTGACAGACTCAATGAAACCGAGCATGTATTTTTCTAAAGTTGTTTGCATTGCTTTCAAGGGATCTATGCTTTCCCAGTTATATGCTATACCGGTTGTCTTTCCATCAGGATAATGTTGGGCTGTGCTAAATGAACCTTTTTTTTTATTTTTGATGTCTATTGATGATGATCTTCCACCTTTGGTGTTATTCAGTCTTTATTTCTGTAATTATTTTACTAAACAAGGTATGTGCTTCCCTACCTGTATCAGTTTCTTTATCCAATCTTCACACCTCTCTCAAGTTTAATTAAGTTCATAAGGAGTTTATCAAGCTCTAATACAAATTAACCACAGCTTGACTGATCTGGACTTTTTATGATTTGCTTTGAAGTTGATGGTCAATGGGGAAACTGGATGGCATGGTCAGCAATGTGTTTTTGTAATGGAACACAGCCCAGAAAGCGGTTATGTAACAATCCTTCTCCTCAGTTTTCTGGGAGGTCTTGCAAAGGACCAGATACCATGTACAGAAATTGTGATCCATTAGAAAATTGTATAAGTAAGTTTACATTCGATAGATTCCAAAGTGTTTTTCTTCTCTTTTTTTTCGTTTGTGTGTATGTGTGGGGGCGTAGCAAACCTTACACCTAATCTTTCTAAAGTATTTAACAGTTCTAAGAATGTTAAGGAATATATTAAACTGTCAAAAACAAATTTGAAAAGTACAAACATTTTTTATGAAAGACGTTTAGAATAGTGGAGCTGGTTTTGATAACGGATGAAAATTCTTCACCACTAGTATGTATTTTGAAATTTTCGATTGCAATGCAGTTAAGAAAATAAAGATACATTAATTTATGGCTGCTTAATTTAAATTGTTTTAAATATAACTTAATTGATCGCAATATGACATTGATATAGTATGTACTTTATTTTTAGTCAGAAACGTGGCTTTAAATAAAACAGCCACTCAGTCGTCATTGTATCAGTCTAGAACAGCAGATTTGGGAATCGATGGTAATTTGAGTCAGGGTCCGACTTCATGTTTCCACACAGAGAAAGACTATCAGCCATGGTGGCTAGTTGACCTTCATGAAGTTTACATGTTACATCATATTGAGATTCATGACTTTATCACTTATGGTATTAAAATATAATTCTTATATATTTAATGAAATAAATATAATATGTGTAGCTTTGTTGTAAAGAAATTGATTTTTGTTCACCTCTTTTTCGATATATATAGCTCGTAAATTTAATAACAGACGACTTTTAAATTTGTAGTTATTTAAAATTAAATAAGCACATCATAAACAAGCGAGGCTGTTGGCTGCGCGAAAGAATAAGTTATATAAAATGCTACCTTTACTAATGTCTATGTAAAACAGTAATTTCCTTTTAGATGGAGACAACGTGTTTACACATGATTTAATTTTAGCCTGCTTCTCTCGGTAAACTACTGTCAGTACATGAAATCAGAGAGTTGTACACTTCACTATTTGTGTGCGGAGATAAGAAAACATTGTCTTCTCATTTATAAGATAGCAAATAAAATTGTTTTGCAACAAAGCAAGAATTTTGAAAAAAAGGTCCCGAAGTAACAAGGCTGATGTATGTTAATGTTTTATGTATTTGTATTTTATTAACTGCTCGTGTCATTTTGTAGTAAATCATCCGTCTTATTCAAAATCAAATAAGAGTTAGACTCGGCTGTTTTGCATCCGAATTATCTTGCCAACTCTACAGATATTATATGAAAAGTCAGAAGATTTATTTCAATTAAGGTTTAAAGTATTGTTCAAAATATATTCGAACTATTTTAAATACATGAAAAATAATAGAAATGTGAATGTTTCAGGATAAAGTTTATGTTCTTTTATAGCAAGAGGAACACAGAGTATTGAAGTAACAACGGGAATTACAAAGTGTAACATGAGTAGTTTATATTTCAAATGTGGAGAACCAATGATTCAAACCAGCAAAACGATTGAAGCAATAGGGAGTATTGCTCGATATGTAAAAGTACAGCTTATGGGGGTCGTAGAATTCTTGCATCTTTGTGAAGTTGAAATATTTGGACAACAAAGTATGTTCCCCTGAAATTTATTTGTCATTATCATCATTATTATATATTCTTATTATTATAATTAGAAAGAAATTTCCAGGTTAATGGTTCAGTATTTCAATACACTAGAATCTCTTTAATGGTATGTCTGTTTTTAATGTTAGACAATGTTTTTGTTGGTGGTTTTTGTGTATGTGATACGTAGGCATTATTACCCCTGATCTTTAAAATTTCCATTTCTTCAGTCAGTCAGGCCTATTGAATTATAACTCATGTATTCTTTGACTTTGGGCCAATAGGTATCCTTTATGTTGTACACGAAAAAGCGACATTTAACTTATGGTGATGACCGCCATTTGTCAGGTCTTCAGATGTTGCTTAATTCCTTATTTATTCAAAATGTAACTTAAGCCGGAGCCATGAACTGTAGCTTGATTACCATTGCCATTAATGAATAGGCCTAGGTGCACACCTAGCCTGTAACAATTGCAGTTTTTCATGTTTCATGGCCTTCATTGTGTCAATTTGCAAACTTCTTGTCATGTACAGTGAGTATGAATTCTTACAAATGAAGCATGTGTATTGTTACAAATTTGATATCGTCTATCTATATTACCATTCATGTGTTTTTCCGATAAAGTGCACGAATACTTTAGTGTAATGCATTAGATATATTATAATGTCAGTTAATAAAAACTTGCTTCCTAGATGGAGATTCGCAAATACAATGTGCTAAAATATTATATAGATATATTTTCAAAATTAATATTGAAAAAGCAATATTATTTATCAAGCAGTGTTATATATAGCTGTAGATTTAGTAAGATTATTTCTCTCTCCAGTTTTAGATCAATCAAAATTTGACGAAACTTGTGAAGATGACCTAATAAGTGGTAATTTCTTTTACATAAGATTTGACTGTTAATATACTCATACATGTATACGATAATGAAATCGGTATAAAAAATCGTTTCAGTTTTCAGAATATTAAGTGGAATTTCATAGTATTTCACACATTTTTCAAAAATAGTTGTTACCAAACATTCTTATCAAAAACAGTACATTTATATTATAACTATAATTCAAAAGTAATAATAAACTGTATAGTACAATTTTAATAGTCATCTTGTTCAAATTAGTAAAGAAATAAATGTTTGATTTAAATGTTCTTTAGCGGATGGAAGATGGTCTTCCTGGTCACCATGGAGCACATGTTCTGAAAGTTGCGGAACCGGAAAATCAAACAAGAAACGCGCACTTTGTTCTGAACTAAGCCCCTTTAAAATGGTGAAAGTTTTGTGTTCAAAGGCCAAAAGATAAAAGAAACTGTGGGAGGTTTTCATGCAATGTAAATTTTAAATCCCGTTTTTTATGGTTTTTCCCCCTTTAATTTTTAAATTAAATTCTATTTGATATGTCTATGGGCCTTCGTTCCTTTTTTAAGGGATATTTTTTTTAGGGGGTTTTAAAGTTTTTTTGTTAAGCAAAAATTAAAAAGTTTTTAATTTTGGGATTTTTCTGAAAAAGGGTTAATTTAACTACGTCTATTAAATAATAAAATTGTTGAGCTCTTTTAGTAGTAATGACTTTAATTATAATTTATGCAATCAAAATGTCAATAGGTATTTTTTCCCCCTTTAACTGTTGTTATTTCCGTAAACAAAAAAATTTTTATTTTTATGTATTTCATTTTAAGAATTTTAAAAAAGGGCATTTTCTGTAAATATTTTCATTTTGAAAATTTTAAATTTCCCTTTGTCAATAGTCTTTTTTGAAAATTTATCTTTAAATTTTTAGATTGTATTCGGGAAATTTAAAGAAATGTTTTTACCCATTACCCCCCAGCTACAAACTGGAGGAAAAGCAGCAAACAATTTTTGGCATGGGGGTTACAACTCTATCTCTAGGGTCTAAAAAGGAAATTTAAAGATATATAAAATTTCTCTTTCAGGAAACAAAATACATCGACGGTCCCTATTCCAGTTTAAAAAAAAAATTTTAATTGCATTAAATGCTGGCTTTTTTAAATTCATATAGGTATTTAATTTTTATATCGGTAACATCTTTCGGAACATTTTGACACAACCCTTGTTTAGAATACAACCACCACCTGTTGAAAAGAAGTCTTACATACGATAAATGGGCAGAAACATCTATATCTACACTTGCTGATATAGTCTTCGGATATTTCAAATAAATCAGATTATGTATTCAAATCCTACCTTTTCATATTAAATGTTTAGTCCCTCCGAAGCCGGGTGCGGTCGATATCTTGCATTTATCACTACCTTTCATGAATAGGTTTAATCAAACCAAGTCTAAAAATCCTTTAGTAATTCTGTTTTTCTCTATTTTACATAATAATTCAATTGCGGGAGAATCTGAATAATAAATACAATATTAACATGTCGTTAAAATGTACTGTCTTACTAATTTCAATGTCAATTTACATTTATGTTATGTATTTAAAACTTTTTTCCAAATCTGTACTCGCATATACAGATGTTTGATTGTTAATGCGATTTAATTAAGATTAAAATCTTAATTGCTTTTGGATCACTTCTTGAACGTAAACTTGATTTTCAAACAAATGTAATGTTTAAAATCGTAAAAAAGTATGTTTTCATGATAGGCTTACACCGCATATATGATCAAGACTCAGGAAAGATTAATATGGGATGATACCTCTCATCACGTGACATTTACTGCATGGTAACATTAATATTTATATGGCACTTGAAATATCCACATCAATCAATTAACTAATGCATTTTGCTCAAACTACTTGTACATTCTTAATGTCATAAAATTAATTTATCAACCAAACCTGGGACATCAGGCCACACTATTTTAACTAAGTGATAAATAAATTTTAAAAAATCCCAGGAATTTAGTAGTATTTTATGCCCGGATATTTCATATATAACGCTTATAACATGAGAGAATTGTATTTTTTAAATAGTGATTTATATCTTTGGTTTCTAATCAAAAGGAAAACTGGTGAACCATCTGATGGAAATTGCACACGTATGAACTACCGGTTTTATAATGAAGATAATACATGGGAATCTGAGGATTGTGAGAGACAGCTAGCAGAGTATTTCGTCTGTGAAAGGGATATACACTCTGGTACAAGTATATCTTATCATTAACATTTTGCACGTAAATGTGATAACTCGTCGATCAAATGGCAAGTGTTTTAAGCAAGATTTAACATTAGAATTTAGAACACATTGTCAGTTCAATCAATACAATATATTTAAAAAAACAAATCAATAAGAAACCTATATAAATGTCAGACACAAATTAAGTTATTCTTGTCATTCCAGCCAAAGGTACCGATACAGCATATTTACCTGACAAGCGGAACTGGGTCCTGATTCCAGAACAGATACCTACCAATCAATATAATGGAACAGTAAATCAAACGATGTCAGGAAAAACATGTTCACTTTGGGCAAATGAAAACAGAACGAATTTACTAGATAGTGGTGCATGGCTTCATGATGACCCAATTGAGGACACGATGTTTCCGGAGAGATCTATAATTGCGGCAGAAAACTATTGTCGTTCGCCAACCAATGACAGATATCTCTGGTGCTACACTGAATATGATCCAATTAAGCCATACGCCTTCGAAGAATGTGATATTATCAGTAAGTACGTTTATCTTATATTGTTAAACAGTGGATTTCTTATCAATAAAGCATAAAAATAACATTATGCACATTTTCCGCTGTTGAGTTGAGTTTAATTAGATACATATTTCAGAAGATAATGTATTATAATTGTGATATATCAGTTACTGATGATGACAGATATCTTCATTTAAATGTAAACCTATCTGATATATTAAAATGTGTCCAACATTTTCCACTCATTCGAACGTCAATGTCCGAATACTATTTACGGAATGTCCGTGATTGCCATCTCTTACTGATTATTCTTGCGCAGAAGATAATTCTACTTATGTGTCCATTTGGTACTTATGCCTACCATATTTGCATATTTATAAAGGTCGAGTGTTGTTTTATAAGTAATATAATGGTATGTATATATAAGCATCTATATAATATAGTATTATAAATTTTAACAAATCCACAATCTATGACTTAGAAAGCAAATCACATTCACATCAAGTGTCACTGTCACCCTCACATAAGGAACATCTACTGGCCATTGACAATTTCCGTAACCATAACAGATATGCATTTTTCTTAAACTAGCATTTATTTAAATATTCATTTCGTTACTATTTAGACTATTATTAAATAATGAAGTTGTGGGTTGTTTTTTAACATATAATTTCAGTGCAACCTGTACAAGCCAACAACAGTAAATTTGACGGTTATCTAAGATATACGGGAACGCTAAATACAACATTCTCCGGTGAACCGTGTGTGAAATGGTCAGAAAAGCTTGCTCATGATTTTTGGTTCCCTGGAGAAAGTCTTGCTGGTGTCAGCAACTATTGTCGGGATCCCTGGAATAGCGGGTACATCTGGTGCTTCACCAAAAATAAATCATTGTGGTGGCAGCCGTGCATACTAACAGGTTGTCATTAAATCTCTAATGTACATGTAAAAGTTTTATCATAGAATTTGAAATTTCAGAAAATGTGGTTTTTTTTTTCAATTCATACATTTTTTATTTTATTTTTAATAAACATACATAATATGAAATATGCCGATGTACTATTCAGTGTTTTTCACTCGTTTGCTTGTTTTTTGTTTGAATAAACAGTTTCTATAATATTAATATTGGTATTAAAGATTCGCCAGACAGTGGTCGGGGAGTCGTTTATAAAATAAGAATTTGGCACGGGTTTGGAATCATACATACACAGGGGATTGCTTTGTTCAACCTTGGAGAAGATTATAATGATTCTGTTAGAGAAAAAAGAGTTTAGTATGATGGTAAGAAGGGAACCAATGTTTGTTGGAAGGGCTATACGACGGCTATCCCAATAAGTCATGGACAACAGCGTTTAAATACAAAACTCTATAAGTCTTTTACTGGTTATTTTACTTTATATCCCATTGCTGAGCAAACATGCAACAGATCAGCATGATATCATTCATTTTTTTATTTATGGCAAAATATTTAATATGTTTCTTCTTTTCAAAATATCACCTCTTTTAAAGGGGTACAATTTTTTAGCAAGAAAAACCCTTTTTCGACTACCCCAAAAATTTTTTTTTGGAAAAACTCAGCCCCATTTAATTTTTTAAATTTTCTGAGATAGGGGAGAAAATTTGATTTTTTGTCTTCATTAAAAATAGTTTAATTATCTCCGCTGCTTAACTATGGGCATCCCATTTTTGCTTTTTTTTTCGTTACTCGTTACATATGTCTTACGACACTTGTTAAATAACGATCGCAAAATATTCTGCTACTTTTCCACAGTTTTAACTTTTTTAACATGACTGTTTGTGTCGGTCAGCGCTAAATAACGATATGTTGGGCTAAGTCAAACGTCACCATTTTTATTGAGTACGGTATGAAGTCAAAGGTGCACTGCTAACGCATATATTTTATTATTTCTTTGAAAATTCGCCTTATAGCGTCTGGCAAAGGTAATTGTCAACGTCATAACATAAAGCAGTTTTCTTACCCTATTGATCACTAACTCCGTTTTGAAGATGAAGTGTTGCGTTTGTAAAATTACTATATTTGGCGTATGCTGCATACGTACACCTCATATCTATATTAATTCTACAATATCTAATGTATGTACACTTTCTTATTTTAATTCAAATCGATTGTAATATACTTGTGCGAAATCATGTTAGGCTCAAGCATTATAATTTTTTACATCCATTGTCCACGACTTTATGAGGGCATCCCTCGTACAGGCGCTACAATGCTCCTGGTAAATTGGAACCATGTTCCGCTATATAAATATTTAGGTTTTCAACATTATGCATGCAGTTAATCAAGTACTAAGTGAGGTTTTATTGAAAAAAAATTCAAAACGTACATCTTCACCAAACAGTACAAAGACACATTTTTGCTCTATTTATTTTTTTATAGTTGCACTATTTCCATTGTAAGATTGCGTTTGTAACACAATACTCCTGCAATCTTGATACATAGTGCTTCTGGTCATTTTGTTTTCTCTTTCTCCAGCTATACTACGCAACAATAACATTTTTCGTGGCGTGAATGAACGCTACGAAAGAAGACAAGTCTTTAGGTGTAAAAACGGCCAAGTCATTCCGGGTTTGAAGAAATGTGACAGTAGATTCGATTGTATAGACTATTCAGACGAAACTGAGTGTTGGAATGAATATCAAGGTTTGTTATAAGATTCGAAATTACCTCTCTTATAAGAATGAATAAACATTTATTATTTTTTTCACTTTTTTGGAGGGTGGCTCGGGGCTTATATTTAATATAATAAAAAGTGAAACCCAACGGAAAATTCGAAAATATAACTTACACCCAGCCGATTTGATTTATTGAGTCTCTTTCATATTTGATGATTTGATGAGTTGCTACTTAAATACTGTTAAATTACCACTGGAATATGTCTGCTGCTTTTTAACAGTTATCTGTTGACGTTTGTCATAATTTATAATCCTTTATTAAAATAATCATTTCATTTATTTCCATGGTTTTATCTTTGTGTCACACTCCGCTTTTCATTATCACCATTTGAACAAGTTTGTGAATGTTTCTAAATTAGATTTTATTATCTTGTCTTTTCCGACTATTATCTTGTTTATTCTGACTATTATCTTGTTTATTCCGACTATTTATTTTTTTATTCCGACTTTGCATCTTTAACCAGCTCATGCACTTATTGCCAAGGACATGCTATCTACTAAACTACCGACAAGTTTCGAAAACGGATCATTTTTCCACTGTGCTTTCTCGGCTGAATGGATTTCTGTTCTTGTATACTGTGACGGTATAATAGACTGCTTAGATGCTTCGGATGAAACGAATTGTAACCGATCTCTCTCAGGTAGGATCAGTTGCTAATTGTTTACAATAGAAATAGCATATGACTTTTTTGGTTATTATGTTCACTAAGAATAATTTTCATACATTGTGTTTTGACACATACCAAATTTAAATGGCATGTTAACGATGTCAACGTGCAAATCCAGGATATGCTTAATATAAAAAAAATTAATAAACAGTGACGAAATCTGCAATTTAAACGGTTCGTATCTTTTCAGAAATAAAACTGAAACCTTTTTTATTACTGCAGATTTTCTATATTTGTTTGCTTATTTGTTGTTATTTTTTTTTTAATGTAGATTGAATGAGCTTTCAAACTGAATTGACCTTTTTCAAATAATGAAGCTTGTTTTTACGTATGGTTTATGGTTTTGTTTCTTTTATAAGGTAACGTGCCTTGTTTGCATGACCAGTTTCAATGCGGGAAAGGTGATTGTATACATATTAGTCAAGTGTGTAACTTTATTCCCGACTGTGTGGACGGCAGTGATGAAAAATGTGGTAAATTTACATTTCCTCTTATGATAATTATTATTCCAAACTGATAAACAGATTCAACGCTTGATTCAACATTTTATATAAATTTTTATTAAAATTTCTGCAAAAATGTTAGTGATATCAGAATTTTATCGTAATACTTTTTACACGAAATATCACCTTTACTTGAAACATTAGAATATCAACAGAGCATTTGTTACAGTTATTAAATTTGTCAAATCACTGATTTTTAATAATGATTGGTGCATTGGCCTGGCAAATTTTATAAATAAATTTTAATGCAATTTTACTTCCAATTAAACTGGTTTAAAGTAAAACAAAATGATTATACTTTGGTTGTAGATCTAAGAGAATGTGAAACGACAGAATTCAAGTGTACCAATGGCCAATGTATACCTGCTAACAAACGTTGTGATTCACGGAAAGATTGTTATGATGGAAGCGACGAGTTCTCTTGTGGTATTGTCAATTTCTTTTATGTTGATGAAAGACAAAAGTCTAATTAAAATACGTATAATAACGATGCGTCTAATGCATATGTATTAACTTGATAAGATTTTATTTAACTTGATATCAATATCTCTGTAGCACACTTATATTCCATTAAATTACATGATTTATATGTGCCATGATTGTAAATATGTTATTTAAATGATATCATTTAATTCGAACCGTATATTTTTATAGAACAGAACAAAATTTTGACTTGTACAAATAACATACAGTATATTTACGATACAACTTGAAAAAGATATGTGATATATTTTATTTCGTTACCTTAGTGCAAGAACGGGTTAACTCTTTATTTAATTTGATACCAGTTAACCCGTTACTGCAATAAGGTGACGATATGCTAATTAGCCTGCAGAACAAACCGCATTCTCATAATCTCGTAAAATCAATGATAAAAACAAATCTATGTCTGTTCATTATAAATGAAAAATCTCAAGCTCACTAGTACGGACTTGTGCGTTCGATCTCAAACATTAAGTGTTCAGAATTCAATAAATCCGAAGAATCAGAAAAATATAACATTTCGGAGATGTGATATAAGCAAATTTACAGCTGTCACAAACCTTTTGACACTTGCCTTGGCGAGCATGATAATTCTCTATCCACACATCGTTGTAGATGCATGTGTACAAGATGAAGCATTTCATTGTGACGGTTACCGGTGTATCCCGAATAGGTTACGTTGTGATAAATACACCGACTGCAAGGATGGTACAGACGAGATGAAATGTTTACGAACAGACTTTGAGTCGTGTGTGATAAAGTCTGGGAAGCAGGTTACAGGACTTCAGGAAGATATACTGTCGGTCAGATGATTATTTCTTCTTTAATATTTCAAAAGGATGCGAGTTTACTTTCCTTGAAACCTATATTTTGTGTCACTTTATATGAAAGGCAAATATAATACTGGCTTTAAGAATATTTCTGTTCTTTCTTTTGATATTATCTACCAACAACTTGAAATGTGAAATGCAATTGCTGCAAGTTTAAAGCTGGGACAGCCTTAACATCTTTGCAGTCCAGGACCTAAACTGTTTGTAGCTCATGTTTTGTATTTTATTGTAAAATCCTTTCATTTCGGACTTGAAATTCCCACTGTCATAGTTGACGAATCTTGAATAATGCATTTAGATTGCATTTCTTTTGGAACTTCCATTGCCTCCATTGATTGATAGATCCCTGCTCTGACCTTTAATTTGGTTAACAAATGATTAAACCACAAACGGACATGTGCTTTTTTGTAAATCATTATGTTTTGGTGAAATTCTTCTTGTATCCACTATTCTGATAGGTCAGGGATCTATGCATGCCTCTTTGGTAGAAAGCAAATGTATGATTTGCAAATGAATTGTGAAAAAATATAATCGGACTTTTCAGGAGGATTATCATTAAACTGCGAGTTTGGTAACATTACTACCGGCCGGGTATACACTATAGTAGATAACACTGATATTGTAAAGGGCTCTTTCTATAATGAAGTGGAAGGTGGGGGACTTGATTCTAGTAACCTTAATCGTTTTGCACAGAAACCAGGCTACATATGTAAACAAAAGGTAACGACATGAAGCTATCAAATTTGTTTATATTTTTTCATAGGCACCCTAAATTGTAATTTGTTAACTGTTTAATCCGTTTTAATACGCAGTTTTAAACTTGCAATCCATACGTATATATTCATTGCACTAAGAATCTATTAACATTTCTTATAACTTAAAACCTGCAGGAACTGTTTTGTAAATGATCAACGGACGGGTCAATGCATAGAAAATGTTAAAAGTTTTCGGGAGGAATCGGCTTTGATCACTGTTTACTTCTAATATATCAAAAATGTTTCTTTTTTTGTTGGCACTTGTTTTCATTTACAGATAAAGCAAAAATGTCCTCTGGCTTACACTGCGGCTGCCAAGTTTGATGATCCTTATTACGCTCACCGTTATATTCATTGCACATGCGTTATTCTTGAAGTTACCGTGTTTAAGAATAAGCAGTAAGTTATGTTGAAAGTTTGATACATATTGTTTCACTCAACCTTCACTGTTGTTCCAGTCTTTAACAACACATTACTTATATTGTTTTTATTTGAATTTTGTATTAAACTCAAAGATTGTACAACAGAGATTTTGCTCAAAAATATATAATTTTTGTGTTTGAGTGCATTATGTTTAATTAAATATGAACATTTCGTTTCCATGATCAAGTACGTTGATGAGGCTCCGCCTTGAAAATCATGCATAAGCTCAATCTAGAGACTTTTACTATGTTTTAAAAGACAACATTTGCGTTCCTTTTTAGTTATTTGAATATGAATGTTTTCATATCTTCCATCTGCTGTATAATCTTGTTGCTGTCCTTTTATAATTGTACACGGAATTTTTGAAATACTTCTTAGAATAAATTTAAAACTTGCATTAAACATGCGTTTTAACATTTGGAAAAAATTCGTTTTAGGAAAGAAATGATGTGTATGAATTATTCAAACTACACAGAGGGCGCTATACAAGAGATTGCAAATAATCAGTCGAGAATAATGTTTGACTACACTGAAGAATATATATATAGAAAAATGGCAATCAAACCCGGACAGTCGAGCAATTATATAACAGAATATTTCCCTGGTCCAGTAGTTTGCGAACATGGTAACATTTGAATTTTATAAAATCCCTCCATAACAAAAAAATCATCATGTTAATTCGGTTAAAATTCCAGATAACATAAGCATTTTTATGGAATAACAGCAGTAGGAAATATTAGTTGACTAAACTTGAGAAGGGATATGATAAAATATAAGGTTATGAGGCGTTGTAAGAGGCTTAAAATATCAAACAGTGGTTTACCGTATAAAAAAATTATGAATAGAATTACAGCAACGGTTTGAACTAAAGAATCACTTGAGAATAAGGCAAATATCTAAACTTATATTTTACAAATGCTTGTAAATGTTACGCAATTTCAATATCTGATAGCGTTAATCGTTGATATGCAAGTACCTAAATTTTATTCTAAACATTACATTTCAGATTATAGACCAAAGGAAGATAGTGTCACGTGTGAAGGTGACGTGAAAGACATCCCAGCTCATCTTAAATGTTTGTATGATGTTGATAGCAATGGTATCATTCTTGGATGCCGATCAGGGAGTCACCTTGACCATTGTGGTACGGTTTGCATGTCTTTGTTTTACCTGAGTTCGGGTATGAAATAGTTCAAACACATCAAAGTTATAGATGTTCTACACTCAGTCTGATCATGTCTGTTAATAAATGGACAGAAGTGTTCAATGCAAGCTACCGCCATTGTCCCCAAACTCTAATAGAATTTAACATATTGTGAACCTAGTACAGTTTAGAATTTATTTATGCACGCATCTGTACATTTGACAGTGGTGATGGTTATAAACTACAAAATTTTAGCGGCCGAATAAAAGTATTTTATTTGGCAATTACTATACTACTTTGTCGCACCCCATCCATCTTCCTTTTTATGCTCCCCGAAAAATTTCGGGGGAGCATATAGTCGCCGCCTTGTCCGTCCGTCCGTCCGCACTCACAGGAGAGTAATTATGTGGCTAGAGGGACAATAGGTAACTGTTCTTTCTCTTTGATGTCATTCATTCCGTAATGCTTTTATGTGGCTATTTTCTTTTGTGTGGCTAAAAAGAACAATAGAGAGAACAATAGAGTAGCCACATAATTACTGTCCTGTGAGAACGTCCGTCTTTCCTTCCGTCCGTCCGTCCGTCCGTCCCCTTTTCTTGTCCGGGACATAACTTTGAAACAACAAGAGGTATCAACATGAAACTTTGTAGGTAGATAGATCTCATTGAGTAAGTGTGCAGTGCACAAGAACCGTAACTCTGCCTTGCCTAATTTTTGAATTATTCCCCTTTGTTTATTTTACACTTTGAACTTTGTCCGGGACATAACTATAAATTATAAGAGGTATCAACATGAAACTGTGTAGGTAGATAGATCTCATTGAGTAGGTGTGCAGTGCACAAGAACCGTAACTCCGCCTTGCCTAATTTTTGAATTATCCCCCTTTGTTTATTTTACACTTTAAACTTTGCCTGGGACATAACTCTAAAACTATAAGAGGTATCAACATGAAACTTTGTAGGTAGATAGATCTCATTGAGTAGGTGTGTAGTGCACAAGAACCGTAACTCTGCCTTGCCTAATTTTTGAATTACCCTCTTTGTTTATTTTACACTTTGAACTTTGTCCGGGACATAACTCTAAAAGTATAAGAGGTATCAACATGAAACTTTGTAGGGAGAAAGATCTTATTGAGTAGGTGTGCAGTGCACAAAAACCGTAACTATGCCTTGCCTAATTTTTGAATAATCCCCCTTTGTTTATTTTACACATTGAAATTTGTCTGGGGCATAACTCTAAAACTATAAGAGGTATCAACATGAATCATTGTAGGTAGATAGATCTCATTGAGTAAGTGTGCAGTGCACAAGAACCGTAACTCTGTCTTGCCTTCTTTTTTAATTATCCCCCTTTGTTTATTTTACACTTTGAACTTTTTCCAGGACATAATTCTAAAACTATAATAGGTATCAACATGAAACTTTGTAGGTAGATAGATCTCATTGAGTAGGTGTGCAGTGAACAAGAACCTTAACTCTGCCTTGCATAATTTTTGAATTATCCCCCTTTGTTTATTTTTACACTTTGAACTTTGTCTGGGACATAACTCTAAATGTATAAGAGATATCAACGTAAAACTTTGTAGGTAGATAGATCTCATTTAGTAAGTTTGCAGTGCACAAGAACTGTAGCACTGTCTTGCCTTCTTTTGGAGTTATTGCCCTTTGTTCATTTTGACACTTTGAACTTTGTTCGGGACATTACTCTAAAATCATAAGAGATATCAACATGAAACTTTGTAGATAGATAGGTCTCATTGGGTGGAAGTGCAGTGCTTAAGAATCATTACTCTGCCTTGCCTTATTTTGAAGTAATTGCCCTTTGTTTATTTTTACTTTTTGACTTTTGTCCGGGACATAACTTTAAAACTATTAGAGATATCAATATGAAACTTTGTAGGTAGCTAGATATAATTGGATAGAACTGCAATGCTTAAAGAACCTAAACAAAGCCTGGTCTAATTTTGGATTTATTGCCCTTTATTTATTTTACACTTTGAATTTTACCCGGGACATAACTCTGATATTATCAGGAAACTTTATAGATAGATAGATCTCATTGAATAGAAGTGCAGTGCAAAAAAACATAACTCCGCTTTGCCTAATTTTGGAGTTTTTGCCCTTTGTTCATTTTTTTATACTTTCCTGTGTCCAGAACCTTCTCGGGGAGCATCACCCGGTTCAACCGGTTCTTGTTTAAATATTGTTCATCAAAGTAGTTGACTGAGTTTAAATGTAATGATTTGATGCAGCTTACCAGAAATACTTTAATTTAAAAACCGGAACATAAACAACCTCAGTTCCGAAACAATAACAAACTCAGTTAAACACATAAGCGATTATCAGCAAAAACTTTGAATAACATTTCTTATATTTTATCACTCAATTTCATGCAGCTTTTTTTATAAAATAATTAATAACATCTTTATGATCAACTATTTCAGAAAGTTTTCAGTGTTTACCGAACACAGTTAAATGCCCTGGTAGTTATTGCATACCACTAAGGTTCATTTGTGACGGTACGGCTCAGTGTCCAGGCGGGCAAGACGAAGACAATTGCGGTAATAGATTTTTGTTTTTCTAAAGATTTGTTGTCTTCCACGAGTATAAAACTTTCAGTGATTAAGTATTATAATATTTGACATATGGTATATTTATTATTGTTTCGATAAAATGATAAAAGAAATAATAATAACGCTTTGCGCAAACTGCATAGGTAAAAACTATTAATTAAGACAATAAGGCAAAGTATTTTACTTAAATAATACATAACATTTGACTAAAGGCAACATAAAATGTATTTTTTGGATTAGAGAATTAAATGAATACTAAATTTAACGAATTCTTACACATACAGTAGCTTCTATAGTTTTTCTTCTCAAAGCTTAGAGAATTTTATATGTTTAATAAAGAGTTTAATGTGCATTATGACTTAATGCTGAAATTTTATTAGTTCACCTAGCATATTGTGCTCAGATTTTAACTATTGTGATGACATTGTGTCCGTCGTTGTCGTTCCTCGTACAATTTATTTAATTACCATGTTCTCGGCAAGTAAATACACTGTGCCCTAAATTTCAGGAAAGGTCATTAGATGCTCCTTTACAAAAGTTATTTAAATGGTTGCAGTCTGATACATAAGTATGTCACAAGGGTTGTAATAGACTTAAGAAATTGAATTATTAAATAATTATTTTCTCAAAAACTATATTTTATTTTACATGTCCCTGGGCCCAAAAATGATCCCTATAATATCTGAGAGTAACTTAGTTTATATATACTGAAAATGATTAACATGCCTTACAATTCCACTTCTCTGAAACTACAATACCTAGAGCATAAATATTTGGCATGTAGCATCATCTTTTGATCTTACACAAAGTAAAATAATAATAAAACTTAGCCCTTGTTGTCAGATAGTTTATTTAGATTTAAGACTTGACTCTTGTAGAACAGCAATACCCTAACCTTTAATCTTTAACCTCGAGTGAAAAAAGCAAACGATGACCGCGCTACGAAGTTTAATTAGTTTCAGGAAAATACATCAAAACTTATAGAAACTAATTGCCGGAGATGTAGCATTTCATAGCGTACTTACCAATCCATTGAAGAATTGTGATCATTTTTAGCATTGGATCTCATGTGAGTGATCTAGATCCACGATGATCCCCTTTGTTTTTATTATGCTCCCCGAAGGATGAGCATATAGTCGCCACTTTGTCCGTCCGTCTGTATGGACGTCCGCTTTTCTTGTCCGGGACATAACTTGGTAACAACATGGGGTATCAACATGAAACTTTGTACGTAAATAGATCTCAATGGGTTAGATGTGCGGTGCACCGGAACCGTAACTCTGACTTGCCTAATTTTAGAGTTATTGCCCTTTATTTATTTTTATATTTTCAACTTTGTCCGGGACATAACTCAAAAAATATAAGAGATATCAACATGAAACTTTGTAGGTAGATAAGTCTCATCAGGTAGAAGTGCAATGCAAAAGAACCATAACTCTGCCCTGCAAATTTTGAAGTTTTTGCCTTTTGTCCATTTTTATACTTTGAACATTGTCCAGGACATAGTTCTGAAAGTATTATAGATATGAAAAAGACACTTTGTAGGTAGAGAGATCCCACTGGGTAGATGTGCAGTGCACAAGAACCGTAACTCTGCATTGCCTAATTTTTTAGTTATTGCCGTTTGTTCATATTTAAACTTTGAACTTTGTCCGGGTCATAACTCTGACACTATAAGAGATATGAACAAGAAACTTTGTAGGTAGATAGATATCATTGAATAGATGAGCAGTGCAAAGAACAGTAGCTATGTCCTGCCTAAGTTTGGATTTATTGCACTTTCAACTTTGTCCGGGACATAAACTACAAAAGGTATACTTTTTAGTGTCCAAAACCTATTCGAGGAGCATCACCCGGTTCAACCGGTTCTAATTTTTACATTAAACAACAGGTTGTTCTAAGGAAGACAGTGAGATTCTTATCCTTTATGACGCTGGGTTAGTTCAGCAGAAGTTCGATGTTGACAAGTTTGCTAACCATTTTTATACGAACATGTCTACCATTCGTATTCTAAGCTACACAACATGTCAGCCGCTCAACGTGGACTATGACATAGAGGATATTGTCATGAGTGTTAAAGATACTTCCTTTACTCCGTTTGCATCCGTTTACCAATTGCAGACGTACTATTACAAAATGCTTGCTAAATCATTTCTAAAAGATATTATGTTCACTCAATATAAATCAGGGAAACAAGGAATAATTTTTCTTGAAAACAGTGAGGATGCAAAGGCTGTCTCGAAACAAATATTTGAAAATATTTCCGGGGAGTTTACACATAACTTCACCGTTTATAGAGTTGTTGAAAATTCACAAAGAAGTGTCAAAAATGTTTCAAATACATACAAAGGTGTTGTTGATGTACCAATAAAGCGATGGGAGTCGTTGAACACCATAGGTGTGTCTTTGTTTCCCGAGATATGTACTGGTATGTTTATTATGTACTTTGTTAAAGAAATTGGCTTTAGAACTCTGTTATAGTTTGTTTTATATCATATCGATGAGATGTTGCAACAATATTGACCGTCTATGGCTGTAAAAGTTTAATGATTCCATCAGATAATATTTCAATATTCCATCAAAAGTAATATAAGATGTGTATTTTTGTTTTACACAGTTTCATTCATAATGTATCCGAATATTCTTATTTTATTCATAGATTCAACAAAGGTCATTTGCCCAAATGCATATAGGTGTGCTTGGAGTAAGAATTGCATTAGTTTAGAACAAGTGTGTGACGGATACGTTCACTGTTACCATGGAGATGACGAACGACTTTGTAGCTTCCGATGCCCAGTAAAATGCCGTTGTAGCGGATATGCCATGTTTTGTAGTCATAGCAACATTACAATGGGTGATGTTTATAACATGTCTGATACTGCCAGACAACTCGATTTAAGTCGAAATGTCAATCTGAGAAAAGTATTAGAGAACTCGCATCTGGAGTTTACTTCTTTGGCAATTCTTAATCTATCGCGATGCAATATTGTAAACATATCAACAGAGGCTTTCCATGGTTTGAGAAATATTTTTACGTTTGACCTAAGCTTTAACGACATCAGAACATTGCAATCAAATGTATTTCATCATCTCAAACACCTTCGGTTGTTACAATTGAAAGGTAATAGTAAACTTTCAAGCATTGAAGCGGGTGCATTTAATAAATTAACTTTAATTCGAGAATTGAATCTTGCTAATGCACAATTAAAAGTGATAAATGCATATTCTTTTGCCGGTCTTGAACTTGATGTCATTGATTTGTCAAATAATACCATCGTAGAAATAAAAGAATTCGCTTTCCGTGATTTGTTCGTGTCTAAAATAGATATCAGCGGGAACAAAGTTACAAAGTTCAATAAAGGAATTTTCACAGGTGTAACAGGGCTAGCAGAATTACATACACCTGCATACAAATTTTGTTGTATCAGACCAAACTATTTGGACGAGGAACAATGTTTACCGACAAAAGACGAGTTTTCCTCCTGTGAAGACTTGATGAGACTCTCAGCTCTCCAGACCATGCTTTGGCTAATTGGATTGACAGCTCTCATAGGAAACGCTCTATCAATCATTTATAGATTAGTGTATGACAGGAAGAGGCTTCGTATAGGATATGGTGTATTCGTTACAAACCTTGCGGGAGCAGATCTGTTAATGGGAATATACTTGATGATAATTGCAACAGCGGATGCTCTGTTCAGGAAAAGGTATATTAATTTGGTTATTTTCATCTCCAATTTTAGAAATTGGACACAGATATTTTAAGTTTATTCTGGAAGGAAATTGTGGTCAAGTTTCATCAGTTTTAACAGACGTTTTGAAAGTAGATCTACTGCAATTTTCCATGTGTTACATATCAAGCTGTAATTAATCTATGTTTCATTGAACTTGTTTGGTAATGATCTGTGTTTAATCTAAAACAATTTTTTTGGTGAAATTATAAATTATTCAATATATCTCTCACTGAATGCAATCAACATTTATCTTGCACTGTGTACTTCATTGTTTTGGCGCCTGTTTACTAATACAAGTTGTATGCCGATTACAGATGTATGATATGTGTATTTAATACTAGTTTTCTGTTCACGACATTTTTAGATAGTCTTTACTTGCCAATCAATTTTTATCTGATACGATAATTTATGTCATTAATAAAATATTTTTATTTGTTATAATATATTAATCTTTTTAGTTTTTATACATCCTTTAATTTCGAAACAATTATGTTACGTGTTGCCATGGAGTTGGTGCACAGTCTGTAGTAGTAGTCGGAATGTTATGGTTTTACATGTACATTGTATCTATTACAATTTAACAATGATATTTAGAAGACATTGTTACTTAAATTCCTTAAAATCTCTGTAAGAAATAGATTTGGTCATTTATTTGATATAAATTTCGAAAAATCATATTACAATGATATAAGCATAAAACTTGCAGATACTTAAAGAGAGAAAAGAGTTGCCATCAAAATTTTATTTTATAACGATATTTACAGATACATTTTCATGGATGATTATTGGAGAAACAGTGTCTGGTGTAATGTCGCGGGATTTCTGTCGACAGTGTCGTCTGAAGCAAGCGTTCTCTTTCTTTGCCTGATCACCATAGACAGACTGATTATGATCAAGTTTCCCTTGAAGCAGATACGAATAACTTGGAAAATCGCGCATCTGCTTTCGGCAGTCATGTGGATTCTCTCAATATTTATAGCTGTTATACCATTTATATTCAGTGGCTACTTTCAGGATCAATTTTACACGAAATCAGGCGTTTGCATTGCCTTACCTCTGACAAGAGATCGACCACCAGGCTGGGTATATTCCGTGGCAATATTTGTAGGGTTGAATTTCATCACATTTGTCCTTGTTGCTTTTGGTCAGATTGCTATCTTCATGGAATTCAAGAAAACAGTTATTGCACATACAGCTAACAAAGCCAGAAAACAGGATTTGACAATAGCAAGAAACTTACTGCTTGTAGTAACCACGGACTTTCTGTGTTGGTTTCCAATTGGAGTAATGGGTAACTTAAATTTTTCCTTTCTGTCGTAGGATTTTTATCTTCCTTTTTATTAATGTTGTCATTGTTTTGCAAGCATTGCAACATTTCTATTTGTATTGAAAACTTAAAAATAACATATGTAAAATAACCAGTTTAACTTCGGCCGAGTATCTTTTTAAAGATACTTTTTGGTTTTTTTTAGAGATACTTATTGTTTAATGATGATAACTTTCATAATGATACTTCATGAGATAACGTTATTCCTGTACCGATTTGATATGAGATAAAATTGTAAATAATTGCAAACATATATAATGTATTTGATATTACTAGGAATAATGGCTCTGAATGGACATGAAATATCAGGAGATGTGTATGCATGGGCAGCGGTATTCATACTACCAGTTAACTCCGCCTTAAACCCGATTCTGTACACATTATCAGCTATTGTCGGACAAAAGGTAAATGCTTTTAACAAGGCGATTGTTACCGCCATCTTATTATTTATTTCTGTTTCATAAATACATTATTTTATGTGTGATGAATTATGGTCAACTAAAATTAAAGCAGATTTATACATGCATCATGTATGCATAAGTACAAATGATAATTATAAAGAGCATGTAACACTTTCTTGTGATTTTATTGAATTTAACGTATATGCCATTTTTTACGCAGAAATTCAACCCAAGCACAGACGAGCAAAACCGGACAGAAATATCGGAATGTAAGTACAGTCTGTTATATGATTGTGACAAATGCGTTATATACATATTTTTGATAAACCTTTTAATTGTTAGTGAGCAAAAATATTGCTTTATTATAACTCATGTATGACTTTGTCTACATTTGTGTTATCTCCGTTTCATCTCCTGGAATTTAAACTTATAAAAGAAGTTGTTAAGAATTGTATCGTGGCGGTAAAACGTTGTCCGTCCAATACTTCATTTCAGTGCTGTTATATATTTTTATTGTCCTTCGCAGTCGCAATGATTACTGCTTAAGTCGGTGTTACACAGTGTATGAGATGTTTGACTTTTTATTATCTTTCATTAACTGACTCAGTTAGATGTGTGTGAACTAAACCTAGTTATGTTTTCATTGCTCCTTGGTTTTTTCCCATTTCCAAAAGATAAAATATATATACATGTATTTTATTTAAGCGGACTTCATCATCAATAAAATAAGAAGGCAATTACATTTATGTATTGCAATGATCTTTTATACTTTTATGACGTATTTTATCTGATTTTTACAATAACATTTTTGCTATGCATGTTCAATATTTGAATGCTTGCTTCACTAACATTGTGGTGTTTTTAGGTGTCCAGTTCTATTGATATACATTTAAAACATTAATTTCAATAGTTCTTCTCTTTCACTTTTAAGACACTGGTACACGTAGCTTGGCAATTTTTGGTGTAAGCAAACATTTCTCGAACCGATTCCTACCAAATTATCGCACGCTTGGTGATCTCTTGGAAACAAACACGGATTTGAGTCTTATGCAAATACTCCAGATTGCAACAAGAATTGCGGAAGTCTTAGATGTGGTGCACGAAACTTCACTCATAATTGGAAAGCTGGATGTTGATACCATACATGTACAGATGCAGAATGCAAAGGTAAACGCACATAAAATTGACACAAAAGCTAGCGACAATGACGACCTATATACGCTTACATTATTACGTCAGAACATCCTTCACATGCATGTAGTCTGGCAGGCGTTTACACCGTTATTTGCTCAAATTTACACCCTTCAAAGTACAAAAAAACTGTTACAAATTCATTAGTGTAACTGTGATAAATGTTAGATTATTGGATAAATTTTAAAGGTTAAACTTATCATGAATAAGTATAGGTATTCATTGTATTCGAGTTATGAGTGCACGTTTAAGTATGAATGCAGACACTGTTATTAATTATTGATTTATCATACAGATATCTGGGAAGATCAAGCTGAAGGTAAAACCGCAGATGTCGGTGAATGCCGTGGACAGTTTCAATGACATGCTGCAGTTTGGTAAAGTACTGCGAATATTGCTCGCATCTCGACACCACAAAGAAAGCACTTTATAACTTTTTTCCTGATATTGATTTAATGTCGTTCTTGCCATGGTTGTCTGTAACAATAAAATGTGCATCATTTTCCATTACGACATCTTACTATGTAAGTAAGTGTTGTAGCATACAAAAAGTATGTAATTTACTTGCCAATGAATATAAAGTAATCCTTTAAGTAATAAGATCTGTTCTACCTTGAGTTTGTACTTCAACCACTGACTTAGCTGTAGGATTTTATGAACGTAACACTATTAATTATCAGTTTACTTAAAGGTGATTCCGAAATACTGCAATTTTATTAACGCAACTAAGAAAATTTAAACTTGTGCAGAACTATTTCTCAGACTTAGCAAAATAACAGAGAATCATCATTTATTCTTTTTCATTTGTGTTCATATTTAGGAAATAGTGGATTTTTTTGCGTTTAAAAAATTAAAAAAGAAATTCGTAATTGTAACAGCTTATTATAGGAAAATGGACATTAAGTAAATCTGGCAAAATGTTGTTGTTGTTTTACCTGTTGTTTGATGTTATTGTTGTTAAACTTAAATATATAAATGTTAGATATTTTATATTTTTGTTCATATTAGTCCATAGCAAATATATTGTATGTTAAAAAAACAAATACAAAGAATATTTTCATAGGAACTTTTTAACATTTTGATTTTTATAGATACTAGTTATTAAAACATTAATTATGCTTTTCTGACGTCTCAAAATTGCTGTCAACCACTAAAAATTTCAAAACAATGTGAAATCAAAAGAACTTAAGACTTAGTAGGGATTTTAAATAATAGGTTTTCATTTGTCGTTTTAAGCTATTTAAGACTCGAAAAATAGTTTGGTAAAGAATATGGATCTTTTATTATTATTGTGTTGTTGCTGTATTAAGATATACATGTATAAGTGTTAGATATTTTATTTGTGTTCATATAAGTCCATAGCAAGTTATATTGAATGTTTAGAGAAACTTTAATTGGAAATTTCTACTATTTTGATTTTAATAAACACAAAACAAAGATATTCAAAATTCCATTCGAGCGTTTCAAAATTGTTTAAAACTTGTTTAAAAATTGTGGAAAGCTTTGTGAACTAAAAAGAATTGTTAGGCTTAGAGTGCCTTTTTAAATTATCTGTAATCGTCGTTTTAAGCTCTAGAAAATAGTTTGGTAAAGATGAATTATTTCTTAAAGATAAATTTATTATTGTTGTTGTTAGCTCACCTGTCTGTCGTCCATCGTCCGTCCACACGTGTTCGTTAACACTCTAGCGGTCACATTTCGCCTCAATCATCATCAAACTTTGTCAGGATGCTAATCTAGGTAAAAGCTCGGATGAGTTCGAACATTGGTCATCTCGGATGAAAAACTAGGTCACAGGCGCTAAAAATAAAAAAAAACACTTGTTAACACTCTAGCGGTCACATTTTTTACTCAATCATCATCAAACTTTGCCAGGATGCTTGTCTAGGTAATAGCTCAAATGAGTTCGAACATGGATCATCTCGGATGATAAACTAGGTCACAGGAGCTTTAAAATAGAAAAAACCTTGTTAACACTCTAGTGGTCACATATTTGACACAATCATCATCAAACTTGGTCAGGATGCGTGTCTAGGTAATTGCTTCGGATGAGTTCGAACATGGGTCATCTCGGATGATAAACTAGGTCACAGGAGCTAAAAATAGAAAAACCTTATTAACACTACTGTTTGATCCAAATATTCTGGAAATTGGTCTGAAAGTTTGTTTTGATGATTTCTAGGTCAAGTTTGAATATGGGTCACCTGGGTCAAAGACTAGGTCACACCACCCAAATATAGAAAAACCTTGTTAACACTCTAGTGGTCACATTTTTTATTCAATTGATGATTTCTAGGTCAAGTTCGAATATGGGTTCCATGGGGTCAACAACTAGGTCACACTGCTCAAATATGGATAATCCTTGTTAACACTCTAGTGGTAACATTTTTGACTCACCTGTCATGAAACCTTGTCAGAATGCTTGTCAAGGTAATTGTTCTGATGAGTTCGATGGGTCAGGTGAGCGATCTAGGGTCATCTTGGCCCTCTTGTTACTGTTGTTGTTTAACTAAAATTTATAAATGTTAGATATTGTATTTGTGTTCATCAGGGTCTTTCAAATTTGATACGTACATAGATAATTATATCGAATATTTAAAGAAAATTTGAAAATTACTTTTCTTTACCATTTTATGTTTTGTAAATAAAAAATATCTAGATCTAAACATTTATATTCTATTTGAGCGGTTCAAAATTGTAATTAACATCAAAAGTGAAAAGCTTTGAGAAATACAAAAGAATTTTAAGACTAAGTGTGCCTATGTTTTGGTCGTTTACCGCTGTTTCAGACTATTTGTTAATGATTGTCAATTGTTGTTATTGTTGGTTTTAAACTTTATAATGTGTAAATGTTAAACATCTTATTTCTGTTCGTGAATTATATTGTTTACGTAAAACTTCAATGTATATATAAATGTGTTGCTTTTTTACTTCTTCTTTTAATTGTTTTTAGATAATGTGCAATGATCACATATAGATAATTTAAACTGACCTACTGGCTAATCAGAGAATTAATAAGTAGATTACTTGTTACTAACTTAAAAAGAAATAAGTTGATACTTATGACAAAGATATATCTAAAATTTATGTGGAGAAATGGCAGCTGCAAAGTCAATATAGCACAATCCTGACAATAATTGCAACTGAATTCATATTCTATCACATATCCTTATTTCAAATCATTTCAGCTAATTATAAATTTAACATCGCTGATATTTCTGACATCTTGTTTTATGTTTCCCTGTATTGATCATTCATTTATGTTTGCAATATTTACATATTAGAATTATAAGCAGACAACGATGATAAATACAACAGACATCGATGGCAAATACAGCAGACATCGATAATAAATACAGCATATTCAGTTTCACTAGAGTATAGTATTTGACCTACTAAAATTAAGCAACAAGAAGAAATAGGTTACAGTCAAAATATCAATTTATCACAATACTAAGGAACTGTGAAAGAATTGTGATTAAAACAAAAATTTTAGGCAATATTTTCATGAAATCTAGATTCTAGATTAAAGCCGAATGACTATATTTTTGTCTTTGAGGTAGACAAGCATTATAACAAACAAAATCATTTAAAAAAAAAAAAAAACAAAAATATTATTTGATACTCAATCAATGATATTTTGATATTCAAAAGCAACAAAATCAACTTAAATAAGAAAATGTTATAAACAAAAGAAAACAGATTAGATTTGTGTCCTTACTAACAAAGTTTTTAAGTATACATATCTATTATAATTTACTTTGGATAATGCTGTGTAGTTTTAAATAATGAAATCAGTATAGAAACAAAAAGGCTAATGTTGTACAAACTAAAAGATAAAACAATCATGATTTAGATTTTCTAATTGCTGTCAAATTTTAGGACTAATGATACTATCTTATATAAAACTTTTAATTGCCCACCTACATTTCGACGAAAAATAAACCAAATCCGTCCGTGTGTCTGTTTGTCTGACCGTCTATTACACTTCGTGTCCGGTCAATAACTCAGTCATTTAGCAAGGATGTTTTTAAATAAATTGACACAAATGTTGACCATAAAACAACGACGTGTCATGCATCCCAATCTCCAAGGTCAAGATCACACTAGGAGATAAAATGTCAACATTGCCTGTTGGAGGTTATTTTTCGTGTCCGGCTCGTCCATTACTTTTCATCCATCAAGGAGTTTTGAAATAAGTTTTCACAAATTAAACATATTTACAGGGTGTTCGTTTGACCCGAGACCTCGGGTCTTGACCCGTGAAAATTCTCAAATGCACTCATTTGACCCGTCATAAAATCAGCTCGCGTGTCATTTTTGACCCGTGGAAATTTCCGATGGATGCATGGAAACTTTACTGTTTGTCAATCAATTTGCGTCAGCGCGCTAGACAGAGCTATTAGCCCCTCCTACAGGTACAGTAGGCGTGACGATTTATCCGCATTAAAGCGGTTTAAGCCAATCACTGACTGATACGCATGTGGGTAGCATCTGATGGCGAGAATTGATATTGAAAGTTGTCGCTAATCAATATACGCGGCATATGATGTGTGCATAATAATTATCATTAATTGGTAAACAATAGCAATATTGTACACGCTTTTACAATGGGTGGGGGTTTGTCACACTTTCGTATGAAGATTGGACTGCGGTAATTGTAATTGCAGCGGTAAGTACGAATGAACGTTTTGAAGTATATTTGCAGGTGGCTAATTTAGTCTACCGGTATTGTTCATTTTCAACACCTTAGTAAATTATTGAAACATCTTTTATTTTCCACCTAATTAAAAACATAACAATGTTTTTGCTCAAAATTTTAGGCAACTGTATTTATAAACTTACATATTCTCAGCACATTTGAATCGATGTACCGTTAGTGTTAACGTCGCCGTGTTCGAACCCTATATTACATTAAAATTTTTAGTGTATGTGCTCTTGATTAGCATTTTATCATGGCTCAAAAAAGCCTGTTTGACTTGGGATTTGCTGGTACAAAACGTACTCGTGAAAGTGATGTTGAGAGTTTGAGTGTCACACCAACTAAGCGTGCAAAAAATGACAATAATCCAGAAACACCAAAGTCTAAAACAAAAAGAAAGTTCAGAGAAAATTGGTTAGAAGAATTCAAATGGTTGGAAATGAAAGTTGTAGATGGACAATGTAGATTGTTTTGTACATGGTGCCGTGATGCAAAAAAGAACAACCCTTATGCAAATGGTGGTAGCACAAATTTACAACATAGTGCAATTGACAGACATCAAAACAAAAATCCTGATCACTTAGAGTTAGCAAATGGTAGACTGCTAATCAAGTCTAAAAAAACAACAAAAGATGCTTTGTTGATTCAAGAAGCTAAACAAACAGCACAAAGCTCAGCCTCAAAGGTCTGTGTTGAATATGTCTTAATTTATAACAAAACAAAAAAATAATATTATGACAGATATTTGCATATTAATTTAAATTTTTATAGCACTAATAATTTTTAGCAGCTTGTATGGATGTTGCCAGATATTTTTTCATAAATTCCCAACTGATGATACTGACTTCTGTCAAAAATTGCAACTATAATGCCTGTAATTTATATTATGAAATTACCAATTTTATAAATTTAATTTTCCAGGAAGCACAGTTGAGAACAGCATTCTTTGTTGCGAGAAACAATCTACCACTACGCACTCACAACAAGCTGATTGACCTTCAATTTGCCGAATACCATAACACTGTGAAGAATGTGTATCGCTACTTCCACAACTCAGCTGTTCGTTACAATACCCTCAGAGAAATGGAGAATGTTTTAAATGATGAGAATGGGGACACACATACAACACTAAAAGAACCAGCAAGCTTCAGATGGTTGTCATTAGAGGCAGCAGTGAAGGCAATTTACAAAGTATACCCAGCACTTGTATTAGCTCTTGAAGCAGAGGCAGCAACTGGCAGTGCAGATGCTAAGGGAATCCTGAAAAGTGTTAAAAGTGCCGCTTTCATTCTTAGAACTGGATTTTTAATTGATGTCTTAGAATGTGTGAATAAACTGTGTAAATTGTTCCAAAAAGATGATTTAAATGTTGACACTGTAATGACACAGGTTTCCAGTACCAAAGACACTGTTGAAAGTTTCAAGATTAAAAATGGTGCGGTCCTCAGTAAAGTTTATGACTCTCTCAAAGATGGGAAGTATCTAGATGTAAAATTAAATGACACACCACTTATCCGTATGGGATTTCAGTCAAGTGCAGATGAATACATAACAATCTTGTTGACAATCTAAATGCCAGATTTGAAGAAGAATCCATGGACAAACTGTCAGTACCTAATAAAATCCTAAACCCAAATATGCTTCCTGAGACTACCACTTCCATCATTATGTATGGGGAAGAAGATATTGAATCTGTGACCAAGTGGCTAGGCCCAATCAATGACCATCCAGGCTTAGTTGACACAGAAAGAATGAAACAGGACCATACACAATTCAAGATGACTTTAAAAAACATGAGGGGAAAAACTTTATCAAATGTGTGTGAAATCATCATTAATGACTTCAGTGACAGTTATCCAGACTATGCAGTTCTGGCCAAGTATATGTTAACCGCCCCACTTACAAGTGTAGCATGTGAAAGGGGTTTTTCCACCCAAAATAGACTAAAGACAAAAGCTAGGTCCCGCACAAGCCATGAGAAAGTTGCTAAACTGATCAGAATAATTGAAGAAGGTGATATTATCAAAGACTTCCCAGCAGCTGCCATTGTGCAGAGATTCAATGATAAGGTTAAGAGGCGTAAATGAACACATGATTATGTCTGTGCAACTGGGTCTATGTATTAATGAACTGTAAATGATTGACTGAAAAAAAAATGTTTTTCTGTTTTAAAGAAATCACATTGTATGTTACATAACATTGTATCCAAAATGTCAGTGCATTGATTAATTTCTATATTTATTGATATTAAAATGAAATTGATACAATTGATAAATGAAGGATATTATGGAATACCTCTGCATGATTTACTGCTGATATAGTATTACTGTATTAAAATGTTGCTGTAAATACACCACTGTCAATGTTTTTGATGTACTAGGGCTTTGTAAATTGATAGATACATTTATTTATTTTTATGGATGTGTAAATATGAAGCATATTATGGACTTGATAAACTGATAATGCTACTTCAATGTCATTATGTTTGATTACTAGAGTATTGTCTGTTTATTCTTATCATGAGTTATGTTAACATAAGCATAATTATTCAGAATCTCTGCATTAAAGGCCCATTATGTCTCAGAAATGCTTTTATGTTAATCTCTCAAAAAGCATGTAACATCTTCTAAAACTCATATAATTGTTTCTGAGGCAAAATGTGCCTTTAAGTTTAGTAATTTATCAATTGCATACTTTTAAGTTATCTTATGAAATATGTTTTATGCGGTTGCTATAATTTGATAAATAAATTGTTGAATACATGCATTGTTTTTATTTCAACCTGTTGGTTTGATTGGACTGTAATAATGGAAATAAGATTATGATACTCAAATTATGCTGACCTTTGAAGATTGGATATTGACCCTTAAAATTTTTGAGTGATAAGTCCTTGAGTTTCAGAGTCTACCGAACACCCTGATATAAATATACTATTCTGAAATTTAAAATAAAGAATTATTGTGATTAGTTAATTCTATACTTATATGTGATTAATATGTGTGCTGTATCAAGGAATACAAATTTCGTTAGCGCATTTGATTGAATTTGTGTATAGTAATCACATTTGAGCCGCGTCACGACAAAACCAACATAATGGGTTTGCGACCAGCATGGATCCAGACCAGCCTGCGCCTCCGCGCAGTCTGATCAGGATCCATGCTGTTCGCTTACAGACCCTATAACAAATAAAACAAATGAAACTTCAGACTGCGC